GATGCAGGTGCCTCAAGTAACATCTCGGCTCAACTTTTAGAGGAACAGCGATAATGGTTACACACCCACAGCCGTATCTACCGACCCGTCTTTGGACTAGGTTTGAGCAGTGTCTTGTCCTGTGTTTGGGTTAAGCAACAGCTAGCAGCCTGCAGCCTAGTCTGCAGCAGCCGCCGCCGCCCAGGTTGTAGCACTGTAGTGTGTTTTGTGAGGTGTATGTCATCTACCTGGGGTGATACTGGGAACTGGACCTGGTAGTTAACACACCAGCTGGGTGTCACTACACGTTTTGTGGTGTTTCTTAGTCTTAGCTTATGTTGGTCTGCTTTTTTATGGTTCTTTCCTTATAATCTTATAATGCTTAAATCGACACCAAATTGTTTGGTTTGTATTTGTTTTTGGCGATGATAGTTACAAAATCATGAGTACGATCTAATATGATGAACATGATCTTATCTATTCATCGTCGGTCATGTTAAACTGTAGAATGGTAATTCTCTTCACCATACACAGTATCCAATATTCATGGACAAGAAAGACTGTCAACGCCATTTTTCGGCGGTCAATATTTCCAAAGATTTTATCTAGCTTAGTTGTTGCCTGGAACTTGAAGAGTTGTGGTGTTCTGCGGCCCGCCTTTTCACCCGGAACTGTAGGATTAACCACAACCAAGCACCAAGTGCGACTAGATCTCAAGAATATGCTTTAATGGTCGGGGGAGTAATTTACTGTCTACAAGTTGGTTGGATTCGCTAACCGCGAAATTCTGAATGCTGTTTCAAAGTATACTAATTATTCTAAGCATGCTGAAGCTTGTACATTTATAGAAAGAATGTTTGAGGCAACGTTTTCGACTTTCCATTTTAGATTCCAAAACTCTGGTTGAAAACGAAAAATAATAAGTTACATTTTGCCTCCTTCGTCACATGATTTAGTTCATAATAATATAAAGTTCAAGTTGTCTGTTGTATAAATACAACTGTTAAAGCGGGCTAAATTACTCTTAACCCTCGATGTTGGATGTTCAACCCAACGATGTTTCACCTCACGACATTTCATCTCACGACATTTCACCTCACTACTTTTACTCCTTGTGTCTACTGTCGGAGATGTCGGTGCTAGGTACGCAACATTGTCTAGATTTTTAATAAGGATAGAATAAACCTCGTGATCATGGGATAATAATTTCTTAAAGGTTACAGTCAGTTGGTGTCCGTGCAGTGTTAGGTTCAGGTCTTGCAGTCGCCACGTACATGGCCTATCGAAGCTAAATTTAAGTATTTTTAGGGTACCCTGGCACCGTTAAAACTTCTTATAATCGTTCAGTTTCTAATTTTCTCACGTTGCTGATCCAACCAGATGGTTTGAGAAGGTGACCATTTTAAATCGCACTATGTCTGCTTCAACTGCCGCATAATCAGCCATTTGATCAGATCAATTGGAAAATCTAAGTTAAAGTATCTCTCAGTCTCATCAGTAGTTAAATCAGAATCGTTTAAAGCCACGGAGCACGTGCATGATTATAGACTATCTGTCTGATTTTAGATCTATCAGTAAATCACTCATCTGGAAAATCATGGTTCAAGGACTTGATCCTTATTTTTCTGTTGCTGCATCCGCAACTGATCATTTAAAATTGTAAAATCATGAGATAATTCCCGCTTCGAAAGCTCCCTGGAAGTAAATAACTTTTGACCTGCCACCCATTATCCAGTAAACCTAATTGCCATGCTGGTTGTAACCAATAACTATTAATTACTGCACATGCAACCTAATAACTATATCCACAACAGTTTCAATCTTTTTATCTTCGTCATTATAAGATTATACAGACCTAACATAGCGATCAAATTACCCAATTATAGATGCTTTACTCCTAGCTCTTTTGAACTGATGTTAAACCAGAACTGACTGTATCCCGCTTAATCCCACCAACCATCCCCTGATTTACACGACTCAGTAGCTCACAGAGTGCAATACAATTATAAACCCTGTGATGGTTGCTGAGCTGGGGTCTGGTGCTGGTGATGATTAAGCCTCAAATGGAGATCTGAGGTCTGGAGAGAGAGAGAGAGAGAGAGTGTGAGAGAGAGAGGTTGAGCTAGAGATCTCTCTCTCCCTCTCTCTCGAGGCTGAGATTGAGGTGTTACTTTTAGCAGCTCCCCGTCAAGAGACTCTAGCTGTAGTCGTGTGTCCAAGTATACCGATCATCCCCACAAACATTAACGATAAAGAATATAAGTTAGGAGTGTTTGGGTTATAATAGTTCTCTTGTAGATCCAGGTGCAATACCAGGCAGCACAAGCTAATATATTCTTGGAGTTATCAGAAAGTTGAAAGTTTTTAGAGGGAAGGTAGCTTTTTGGAAGTGTATTGTAAAAAGTGGGCATGTTTGAAGTTTCATTTTCAGATGCCTGAAGAATGTTTGGAAAGGTAAATAGCGCACAGTTTAGAAGTATGGAGAGGCTCACCACACCTACATTCCTTTACCCATTAATAAAACATGATTTTATCTAATCATTTATATAAATCTGGCAATGCTAAGGAACTCATTACATTGTAGCTTATAAGACAGAAACATTACTCTTCGAATTTAATTGGATAAAAGAAAACATGCCAATTAGCGCATGACATTCATGTTACGTCACCTCATCAAGGAATTTAGCTAACATACCAGATCTCATCAAGGAATTTAGCTAACAGACCAGATCTAGATACCACATGGCAATGTTTTGTCGCACAGACATGACTTCAGTAGAAAATATCTATTAATCGTAGAAAGTACTCAGAGTCAGCGAGCATGGGGTTGGGTTCATACGCCTCAGGTTCCAAGGATTGAATTGAAAATTAATTGGTTCATACAGTAAATTGCTGAATGTATTTCCATTTATAGATCTGTGATTGAAAATTTGATCTTACTGACAGGTATTAGAGAAATAAGTTATCTGCTTTAATCAGCTTTAGCTACACTACTAGACAACAATAAGCTAACGAAATCATTCAATCAATTATCAACTAGAGTCTAGACAAATTGCATTGAAATTTGACTGCATCTGTGGGAAATGAAAATTCAGTCTGATTTACTGTTTTGTGGTTTCGGCTTCACAACGACAGGACCATTGTATGGAATATACTTTGTTATGCGGTCCACTATCAGTATCCACATTCCACAGTCACTGATCGCATAATTCACGATCTAAGTTTTCACATTTGAAATCACACCTTCACTTGTTTTTTTCATACCATTTTTTTTTCTTCAAAAAGTGAGAGCTAACAATTTGCCACCCTTTTGTCCATCGGATATTCTAACATAGACTAAATAATGTTGACTCTGTGTCTTGCTTTACTCTATATAGGTGCTAATAAGTGTATAGGATTTCAAAGGAAACAATTTGAAAAATAAAACACCACATCTGTTGCTCCTAGTCCTGTTTGAATGTAAAGTTAGTCAGTATATAAATATTAGGCTATAGAGTGTTATTATTTAACGTCTTTAAATTATCCCCCACATATATGAGGCTCCATTCAGATTAAACAGTGCATCTTATTTCTCCCCACAATCTGTAAAAAGTCTACAGAGGTTAAAGATCGTGTGTGGTGTGGTATTGTTGAGACTGCGAGCTGTAGTAGGGGAAGTGAGCAGGTTACTTGGCTGCCGTTAACACCTCTAGAGACGCAACGGAGGGGACATCTCTAGGATATTGACAAAATTCTGGTCCATTAACGCTTAATTTAATCCAACGAGTAATTAATCAAAACGTTAATTTTGGTTAAGGAAGTGAATTTGTCAACAGATGGACTGAACCTGGTCTCTCACCAAATCAGTGTGCTAACAAGATTAGAAGGAAAAAACAACCACGAGACATCATGGAGTCTCACGCTCTACTGTTTTCAGGTAAATTGTCTATTTTTACTGCGAAATATTTCAAAAAACTACAAAAGTTGCGACGGTGTATCAATGGTTCTGTACAATGTCCCCATTATTCACCTGTCTCCAAACAAGTTGGAGCGGCCCTGAAGACATCACTTATCTCGTTACAAATGTGTTAAAACGCTCTCAATTCATTACAGTCCGTGCTACGTCAGCAGTTGTGACAGTAAGGAGGATGTGACACCTAACTGTCACATTCCAGTCCGCCTGCTTCGTCAGCGAGTACCCCTGTCTGGTAATCAGTGCAAATCACAGATAATTGGTGATTAAAAGTTGAAGTCTTCAATTTGACGAATGAAGAGTGTCTTTCAGAGTGATTTGACTTTCCGTCATGCCAAGTTGGACTTGCAACAACTGTTCCGAAACTATCATTACGTCACGGATCATAATAATCACCGGCGTGTTTTTAAATAGCATCAGCAAAGCAATGTCGTAATCTTCATCATTCAAAGTACATTCTAAATTCCTTTAACTTCAAAAACGTTAAATATTCTAAAATAATTCAGTACATTCTAAAATTCAAGTTGTCCATTTCAGGTCCTGTTTGGAGTTTTGGATGATCAGGTCATGCTTGACCACACCGAGGAGGATGTCAGGATGCAGCGAAAGCTAGACCACTGAAATATTTGGAAATTCTGGCTTCACCTGAATTCTTGAACAATTCTGAATAACTTCTGTACAGAACTCAGTCACTGTTAACCGTAGAGTGAACTCATCGTGATATTTACAACATTAAACAATGTACTATGTGTAGTATGTGACCATGAAGTTGTTCACCGATAAGACTCAAAGCTCCTTCCTGGCCTTTGGAGCACCTCTTTGTAGAGCGTTTCCAAGCCGGTAACATTGAGTGAAGCGAGGATCACTTTAAATGCTGCAAACAACCGAACCGCCAGCCTCCCAGACGATGAATTGCCCATTCAAAGAGTGTTTACCTTTCGAGCAGTTCGCACCTCAACCACCTCCATACCCAGGGGTCACGTGACGTTGTCATGGTAACTATTCCGTAGCACCGGTCCCGGAAGTATTTGTTTTTTCGGCTGCCGACGCGCGACGCCCCTTTTCGTGCCGTGTTCACACTTCACAGCTGACTGCCCACTTATGCTTGCGTGTAGCACTCTATTGGTAATACAGCACTAACAGGTAAGTGTCATCTTTTTCATGTCATTGCCAAACCTCAACCTTGTTAATGTAATGTTAATTTAAATCCTTGTTTTCTTATAGTTATACAGCTATTGTAATCAGTAATCTCGTGTTGCACTGTTTGCTCTGCGACTCTCCTCGTGTTGCTTCTTCAAGTGATCTGGAGTTTTTGAATTTCATTTAACTTAAATAGTTATATTTATAAATTATACTTTATGCAATTATTGAGCAGTTTTTCCCACGATAGTCGATAAGCAGGATTTCGTAATCCTCCAAATTGGTTATAAAGCGCGCGAAAGTTTTGCGCAAACTTTAACTTTGATCTTTGTTAAACTTCGTACGGGGTCTTGGGTGGAGCCCCCGACATCAAAGCTATTGTTTAGATTGTGAAGTGATAAGAAATACATTAGCAAGAATTTTAGTATGACGAATGTTGAATAAGATAGTTGACTAAGAAATATGATTTTAAGCAGGGTCAGATCACAGGAGTCAATATAATTAATTTATAATTATTAATCTAAAATCTACCAAGTTGGACTAGAAGTTAGAACTTAAGTAAGATCACATTTTGTCTTTTAGGGAGTTCTCTAGGTGTTAGGATTCATAATCACGACTTTTCATTGCAGTCATAATTCTACAGCGAACTGTAAAAAAACACTAAAAAAAGAAAGTTTCGCCGATTACTCGGGAAATGCCTGATGAGTGTACACGTCGCAATATAACGCGTACTTTAATCTCATAACCCGTGACCCTTGACTCACAATGCTTCACGAATTTGATCCAAATTTCATAACTCAAATTGCAGACCTGTAATACTTGACACAGTAACACGATGCTTGGCAAGGCTCGCAAACTTCGCCACTGACACGAGCCCTAGCAGGGTTGCTGTAGTGGCAATTTCTCGCCCCTCACCTCCAACAATCGTCATAACATAGCAACCTTCTGAGATATTCCCCGTAAATCAAATCGTTCCTGCTTTGATTTAGGCCAGCTTGCAGGATTAAACCGTCTAAACTCGCCAAAAGTTGCACGTTCAAATGATTTGAGTTGGCATATTTTGCATATGTATGCCCTCCAGGCCGTGTCAAAATTTGAAATGTGCCCTGGACGTTAGAAGCCGTTTTAACAACTACAGGGCAACTACACATATGAGCCCTGTGTGCTGCCTTACTTTTCCTTCCCCCCACTCAGGCAGCACTTAATATCCGACCACTTACTGCTCCACAGAGCGCAAAATTGAAAATAAATCTCTAGGACACTGCCGGATTTCTACCAGATACTTGTGGAATCGAACTTTAAAATTTAATGAGCCACAAGCATCCACGTTTGGCTTGCTCATAAAAGAGAATATTACAAGGTTTTTTCCGCATGTTCTAGAACTTTGCAAGGCGAAGTCTGGAAATACGATGGTAGTTTCCCGAAACTATGGGCACAAAGTCTGCTGCTGTTCGGTGAAACTAAAGCCTCAGATCTCAAAAAACTACCCTCACAACTTTGTAACTAGAAGCAAAGGAACTGAAGCTATTGTTGGAAAGAATACTTGTCCTAAGGCGGGTTGAATGGCCATGCTACACCTACTTTTACTAATTGGTAACCCCATGTTAACTCAATTACCACGAGGTTGTGAAACGTGCCTAAATCAGATTACCAAGCAGCTTGCTTTCTCCCTGGACTATGTAATCATATGTTGCATATTGTAATATGTGAAAATGTGAGAACCAAAACAATTCACAGAGAATGTGCTACTTGTTAAATGCTTGGCTATCATTCAAACCAGAAATAATTCTTTATTACCTATTCAAGTATAGAAGTATTCACCATTCATGTGTCCCGCGCATGCTCAAGCTCGTTTAGATCATGGGCCCAAATAGCTGCTAAATTTTAAATTGACGCCATTTATAAACACTCCTTCATGGCGTGCCTCCGAGCTGAAATAATAACCAATCTGCTCTCACCAATGCAATTATGGGCTCATTAATTACGCTAATTAGTAATTAGGGGGATCAGTACTTGGTTATTGCATTCTGAGCTCCACTGGGTGCATTACAATGATCTTAGCCCAAGAACTGCTTTTTATGTGAATTCAGAGCTTCTGGTCTTCTTCCTACGTTTACTAACAATCTCTATATTTCAGTTCACTCGCCTGCTCGCTGATTGGCCAGCGCAGACCACCTGCCCCTTTCCCCGGTCGTGATTGGCTACAGAGCTCCTCACGTGACTGCTACTTAATAACGCACTCTACAGTCCACCAATCAGGAGAGCGAGAGAGCGCGCAGTAGATCTGCCCACTATATACGGACCCAGTCCTCTCAGTTCAACTATTTCAGACACTTGCTACTTGTTTCGCCATCTTTCCCCACGATGTCTACCAACTTTTGTTCGCAGTTCCTCAAGCAGCCTGCTGCTTCTTTCTCCGTTAACAGTTTGTTAGCGTCTGGCATGGATGATCAGTATGGGGATATGACAGTTTCCACGACGACTGAACCCTTGCCAACCAGCACCGCCTCTATCATGGAACCGAAACCTGACCAGCCGCTGGCTGAACTCGATGAAGTGGAACTCTGGTCACGATTTAACCGACTAACCAACGAAATGATCGTCACTAAAAACGGAAGGTTTGTCCCGAGAATTGGTGTTTAGTTAATACATCGCGCCTGCTTGCAAATTGTAATCATCTACCGGCAATAGATCACACTTTTCAGAGGTGCAGACCAACACAAAACTACAAAGTGCAACTAAGAAATTAACATTATGATAGACACGTTCTCTCTTCACGCAAATGTAACATGTTCACGCAAATCAGTCAATTGAAGGTATCGGGCGAAATTTCACAGGTCCAGTCTAAAATCGTAGCCACGCTAGTGGAACTCTCCGCGTCTATTATGGTGCATGTTAGCGACTGATATTTTTTTAACAACCACTGGTTAAGTCTATTCCACCCGTTAAATCAATACGTGTCCTTTCACCTCGGTTTGATATCACCTGAAAGTTTACTGAAAATGATACTTTACTCAGTCACATGTTCACCGTAATTGCTGCTTATTTTGAAGATGTTAGGAAGTTTGGTGTTTATGTTGAGAGGGTGTGCCACCCTCCTTGCCAGGAAGCCAATTCGTTAATAAGGGGGCTTAAGACAAACAATTGACTTTTAATGGCTCTTTCAGAGTAAACCAAACAAAGCACTGGCTGGGTGTCTGGAGTGATACCAGCGGTCGGGTCAAAGCCAGCGGCTCAGACAGGGATGTATGTCGAGGGAAAATATATGATTTTGAGAACCACCACCATCAATGTCTCAAGGTTCTCAACCGAATTTAGTGCTACTCTGTCAGCTGTTAAGTTTTAGATTTGGTTAGTTTCTCGAAAAGTCGAGCATTGAGTTGTACTCGCGGCACTAGAAGTTGTACTCTCAAGGTGCACCGGCTGACATGAGGTGACAGCAGACTGTAGTACACAAATTTAAATACACACGGCACATCGCTTCATTGACAAATTCCCTCCCGATGCACTCCATTCTTTCTGCTGATAAAATCACCTCAGTTCAAGGGTGGAACTTGTTCAACCTTCCATAAGTTTGGCAATCAAAACAAACTTTAAACATTCTTTGTCAAGCACTTTATGTTCCCTTGACACCAAATTTTGTACTGCTCCTCAGCATGACAAGCAAAGCAGCGGAGATTTCAGGGCCCCCGGTTAACTCGGTTAAAAGCCGTAAAATAGTAAAATGTGAAAACGGCTCGAGAAATACATGTGATTCACAGGCCCGTGTACACACAGCTGCTACAAAAAATTCTCAGAATACATCGGTGATTGGTTCCATCTGCCCACTTCCAGTTGCTCCTCAATTCGGTTTATAGCCGCGGATTTGAGCGATTGTTTGCTGCATGTTTACGTAAACACAGGTCGTTTGGTGCACTCTAAATATCTATTGAAAGTCATGATCTTGAGCTTGAGAAAACTCCTCATGTTCAAGGCGGATTGTCGGGCATCATGCGTGTCAGTAGTCAGGTAAACTTATCAGGACATTTGGCTCGACTCTGACCACACGCATAACTACATTCACCTCAAAATGTATCACGACAGACTTGATATTAGGGGTGAAGTTCTCTCCACTGTGCTGATTCTCCTTCTATCAATGCATGACTGTAAGTTGGAATGCAATAATAGCACCCCCGCCATTCACCAATTAATGAAAACGTCATCCGTCCGAGTTCCCGACGGTTTCCGTGCGGTTAGAGTTTCTCTCTTCTAATTGATTTCCACTGGTAACACGGGTCAGTATCCCTTGGGGTGGTTTACACGGTCCATCACCAACAGATGCCAGGGTCATGTGACACACCACCTCACAAACACGTGCTCATCCGGCAGCACATTGGGAATTTGAAACTCGTTAGTAAATTCCATCGTTCACACAATAATGGGCATGCTAATTTCCTAATATCAGTAACTTTGCAACGGGAAGGTTGAAAACAGAGAAAGCCCCAAAGATCATGAGTCATGGCAAAATTTCATTATAACTTCTCGTTAACAATGTTATAATCTGAACTTCCAGCCGTAAAATACGATCTGTACTCTAGCGATTGTCAAATTTGTTCACATAAAACTATCATTTCGCAATAAAAACTTAATTCATTTTCCAATTCATTTTGACCCTTTTTTTCAGGCGAATGTTTCCTGTTCTCAAGGTAAACTTATCTGGTCTTGACCCCCACGGGATGTACTCCCTCTGTCTCGGATTCACCCCTATCGATAATCACCGCTGGAAGTAAGTATTTCTCATTTGATCCAATTAAAAGTTATTACTATTTGAATTTCAACCGTTTTTTTGTAGGAATAGTAAACAAAATACTCCCTAAACTTTACTCTCTCTTCAAGAATGTAAGCAGATGCCGAAAGAATGTCGGCAATGTGGTTTCTGCTTAACAGTTTAACCTCGTAGTAATCCCTGTAATTCTCTCTCAGATATGTGAATGGTGAGTGGGTGCCCGGTGGTAAACCTGAGCCCCCTGCCCCAGGATGTGTCTACGTTCACCCAGACTCACCAAACTTCGGAGCTCACTGGATGAAGCAGACTGTTAGTTTTTCTAAAGTGAAGCTTACGAACAAGCTCAATGGAGGCGGCCAGGTAAGCTACATTATATTTTCTTTTCATTTGTGGGTGCTTTTTGCCCACCTTTTGTTTAAAACTTTTTATGACCTAATATTCTAGAAAGCTCTACTTTTGGGGGCTGGTTTTAAGCTTCTCTGTTAAAACTTTAACTTTAAGTCATGACTTTGAACCTATATTTTTATCTTTATCTTCGTGAAGAACATCTTTTAACACCTAGATACTTTTAAAAAGTCTCTTCTTGTTTGAAAAAAAAGGAGGCGATGAGATGGTAATATTTTCTTTCTTTCATGGTGGAGCAGTTTGACTTAGCAATACCATCTTGTATCCCACGTGACGCTCGACATGCCCCCATTTTGTTTCAAGCCCCGGCTTACCTTGCTCATGTGCGTGGAACTGATGGCTTTTTCTCAGCGACCTCATGCATCCCCGGACATTTAATGAAACTGCTAAAATAATGGGCATCTCTGGCCCCAAACAAAGGTCCAATTGGGGGCTGTTGCACTACAGTACAAGACAGTATTGCTATCATTAAGTGAGGCAGAGAGACTGCCAGGCCTTTCAGTCCAGGCTCTGGATGGAGAATTAGCACCAGTGTGTTGAGATACCCAGGATAAGTGCCAGGGTGCACTGTAGCCCTTCATTGTACTTTTTCCCTATCTCAGACTAGTTACCAGTAGTCCAACAATACCCTGATATCTTTCCTCAGTCCTGCGGGGTGGCTATCCGTCTACTACCTCTTTATTTCCACCTCTCCAAACGACAATTACTTGATTATACCCTTCTCAAAATACTCACATTTGCATAAGTATTGATATAAAGACTCAATGCATCCGACTGGCCATGAAATTTTCATTGTCAGATTCGGTAAATATGTCGGCCGTCAAGAGAAAGAGTCAATTCTAATGTCTGGAGACATTGTAACTGGATAAGAATTGGCCTCCTCAGAGTTCAGAAGGATTTCCCGAATTAAGCAATTATATTGTAAACCCCCTGTTTGCCTGGTTTCTCACATAATGCCCTATCAAGCACATAATTAGTACGGTTCTCAATTTGACACCAGTTTCGACCCTTGCGTAAGTACCAATTTGACAATAATTATGTATGAAGGGGCACATGTGGCCAATTATTCTGCAGATTTATCAGCAAGTTTCGAATATTCCGTCGCTAAATGTCTCTTAATTTGTGCCGGATTAGATCATTGCACCTATGTTGTCGAATAAAATCATGTTTTAAGTGGCACTGCTCTTGGTCGGCACATACATGGTAGAGAACTCTTAAATTCTAAATAAACCGTCCAAACAACCGATCAATTGTGATTTCCATAAGCAAAATCGAGATGTGTTTTGGGGGACTTCTTTAAATTCACAGGTTTGATTGCATGATCTGGAGGATTGTAATGAGTTATCCCAGTTAAAAATACATTTTAAAAATGATGGAAGAAGTAAAACTTATAGAGTTTAGCATAGTGTCCAGAATTAAAGGAGGGATCATAACTGTTAGAATGTTGTATGTCAGAGTCATTGGCCCTCCATCAGCTTTCTACGTGTCTAATATCCACAACCTACAGCTACTACACGGCTCGTGCTTTCATTACTAATAATCATTATTATCATGACCTGATTGGCACATATAATGAGAGCACGTTCAATAATTACTGCATTAGATTAGCACAATTACCTTAATCGCACCACTGTAATTCAAAAAAACATGTCATAATTAAATAACTTGTTTACGGAGCCCTGTATAAGACTCTGTTCTGTACCCGAAAGATACGCGGTGTTTCAGGGAGGGTCTGTGATTGGCCGGAATAGTTCCTTGCCGACAGTTTATTGGACAATCGCCCGCCACGTGGGCGCCCTTGTCATGTGCTGCGATCATGTGGCATTAAAGAAATTGTTTTTCGTTCAATCAAATTATAAGTATTGTTGGTCACCTGGTTTAGCGGCGAGGTGCGAACTCGTCATATTGTAGTGGAGAGAGGGGGGCGGTGCAGCAGATGCTGCCCCCATACACTGTATCGTCTCACTGCCACGTGACTCCCCGGTCATGTGATCTCTCTCTCTCCTCTCTGAGCTGCAGCTCTAGTTTAAACCTTGATTTGGGGAGGATCAGGGCGAGATAACAATGCTGGAGTTGGACCCGGCACGATCCACTTTCTCATGATCTTTACCCGCCTTTGTTTCTTACGAACAAAGAATCGGAGAAGGGCATGGTCCTTGAAAACTGTGAAGTGCGCAACTAAGTGTGCCGCTCAGGACACGTTATTAATCTCGATCATTCCGCCTTTTCAAAGCGGAAATTTTCAAGCCACATACCACTGCATGCCAAGCTTGTTGGTTTACCTGATTCTACTGAACGGTCCCCCTTAGCAAGCTCGGAGTATTGACCTGGAACCTAGACTGTAATACCCCAGTCACTCTTAATATACCATGTCAAACAATATAATTATAAACTCCTCCGTACCCCCTCCGGAGGGATCTTCCTAAAGCTAATAATTAAAACTTGAGTTTTGATGGGGCCTGTAGTACCCTTATTAGCCCGATTAAAAGCCGTCTATACCGTGCCTTGATTACGGTAAAGTGATGGAACAATAATAGAAGTGTCTAGAACACTGGACTAAGTACCGTCATGTTATTGCCTCCCCACTGCAAGCATTCCACTTTAAACGTTTAAAGAGCACGTCTAAACGACAATCACTGACGGGAAAGCTTTTAGGGTGCTTGGAGGAGGTTTGATGGATTAGTCAAGGGATAAAAACTTGAGATAAAGTGCATCACGGGATCACTTAGGGTCGCTCAATCAGTCTCGTTTATTTTCAGAGGAATGTGGTTGAGATTAAGATCATTCAAAAATATACTATTAATTTTAGAGCTGAGAGTCATAACTATGCTTGAGAGTCATAACTGTGCTTTATGATTACTAGGATAATTTTATAGAGTATCTTATGGAGTAACAATACCTATAGTTCATTGCGAAGTGACTTTATCTTGAACTGATACTGATTCTTCGCATGCCAGCATCTCGATGAGGTTTAATTTCAAGTGCATCTCACGTCTTTGTCTCCGCATTCCAAAATCTTGCTCACCTCGTGTCCGGTCTACAGACACATATGTCTATCTGGCCGGTCCAATACAGCAGGTTTTCTTCTCACCAGGTGCGTTCCTTTCCGACCCCATGGGGGCTTGGCTCTGGTGAGTGGTGGGCCTCACAAAAGCTTGCATGGGATTTAGTGGGCCGAGTCCCCCCTCGCTGCCCGGGTAAGAGGAACCCGCGGTATTGTCCTGGCCTGTGGCCACATGTTCTGAAACAATGTACTGGTGAATGTTCAGTTAATGTGGGGGCAGGTGTCTTGTTAATCTCACCGACACAGGGAGTGAAATCTTAGCTTGCAGACAGTTTAGAGTGACAATTAGTATATGTATAATGTATATACCATCGTAATTTAGGTTCTGTGAACTATTAGATGGTGGAATTGAATAGAAAAAAGGTTCATTTATTTATCAAAATATGGTTTGTTCACCACGATTAATTTGTTTATTTTCAGATAATGCTGAACTCCCTCCACAAGTACGAGCCAAGGTTACATATCATCAGGGTTGGTGCTCCGGACGTTACTAAAAGTGTGACATCGTACAGTTTTTCTGAGAGCAGGTTCATCGCCGTCACCGCTTATCAGAATGAAGAGGTACGTACTTCAGAGTTTTTAGTTTACCAAAGTATGATGACGTACTTAAAATATATTATCGTAATTTTAACGAGTTTCCATGTCCTCAGTTTTCTAAATGAGTATTTACAAATAGTGTTAACAAGTTTTTAAGTTACGTCTCGATCACTCGCCGAAATTATTGTTCTGCTCAGGAACCCCCAAGGTTCCTGCGCAGCGATCTAAAAACCTAAATTCCCTTAATTAATAAATTGACTCAAAAAGTGTCCAGTTTTAGTACATAAATGATTTGAAGCTGTCATAAAAACAAAGCTCTCACTTACCTCCAGTACTAAATTACCTACTTAGCGTCGTGTAATTAATAATTATTTAGATTATTGGCGCTCTTTAAGTGCATGATGACCAGTAATGAGTTTTACTTTTCAGATCACCGGGCTAAAGATAAAGTACAACCCCTTTGCCAAAGCCTTCTTGGATGCCAAAGAAAGGTTAATATACCGCGCTTAGTTTTCAATGATACAGGCTCTTCGTCAAGAAGCAATCCCCACATTTCTCCCTTTCAAATCGATTAGCGATTATGATATTTGGTAGATGATAAGTGAGGCGTGATTATTTGGCCGCGACGTCCAACCTCTGTGCAGTGTGTGCACACCTGTTGATTGGGGGGCAGGGGGAGGCCCACTATCCACTATCCAGCCGTTTCCAAAGTAGCCAAAATGAGATTCAGTAGGTGGGCACTAATTGCGATGCTGAACGCGGCTCCACTTTGTCTGCATGCTATGCTTGCCGGCTCCGCTCCGTCTGGTAACACGGAACTCTAAACATAACCCACCAACTCAACCCGCCACTCTCCCTTCACCCACACTTCATACTTACCATAATTTTTCTGTACATGTGAAAAGTTATTCCATGCCAGCCATTTGTTGGGAAAAATTTTAAACTTGCTACATCAGGGGGAGGTTCCAACTACTAAATTTTAAACCGGATATATTAGCGAAATCATTCGGCGGAAAATGTAGGTGAACCGTTGCTGAAGTAATTTCAAATGAGCATTTAGCTTCTAATTGAAATTAATTTATCGATAAGTCCATACCGATAGAAAATCTATATTAACATATGAGTGTTGAATATTTTTATTTAAATACCTCATAAGAATTTTTGGCGGGAAAATTTAATTTTCTTCCCCTCGTAAGTATTGTAAAAAAAGAATAGCGAATTTCTTTTTCCAAAATTTGGAGAAAATGAAACCCGGAAATTTAAGCACTTTTATTTTTACCGAGAGAAATCGTTACTCGTTAAGTTTTATTCAGATGGAAGTGTGCCAACTAAAACAATGATTGGCCTGGCCTGAACATCATGAAAGGTTCCGAAGGGATTTCTGGCAATTTTTAACTGAACAATCAACAACTTGAGAACTCTTTCGATTCAATTAAGACCGATGCAGAATGTTTCTCTTTTTCATATTGAGACGCTTTTGCCAGATCGGTTAATTTAAGAATTCGTACTAATAAGAAAGTTTGGGAAACTGTGTTATCACAGAAATGAGCTTGTCTGAAAACTAGAAATTACATTATGAGGGAACGTTGAAGTACTTTGGTTCCACTATCCCTTTCTGTCTACATATTGGTCGAGCTTCCAAACTGGGAAACTCTGTGGGCAAGCCAGGATTTTGATTAGTAGGACGCCGTCCAATTGTCTTGCCAAGACTAACCACTAGGGCCAGTTTGGGCCACCACTATTTAAATATATTCTCCCACGAAAAACTAAAATATTATTTTATTTTTTCGCCCACAGCCAGAAACCATAGCAGACTAGCAGATAATCTGCAAGGAAATTTTTAATTTCGGAGGAAATTTTTGGTGCCAAAGAGGAAATTTCAAAAGTTTACGATATCAATTTGAAAAATTTGGATACAAAGTTTTTTGTTGGTGAAGAGGAAATTTTCTAAAACCAATCCAAAATTGTTGACAAATGAAAGAGGAAAAAACTAGCATTTCTTTGGATCGGCAAACTTATCTTCAATTCCTGTCTGTGGCCTGTGCGAAAGTTTAAGTTGTATGCACTCTACATTTCTCAGGATATGGTTGCCTCTACTCTGCAAGGCACATATAATAATTTGTGATAAGTACGACAGATGGTGCAAGCTGGCCATGTTTTACTTGTTGTAGGAGAAAGCCATTTTGTAACACACTATTTTGAAGGGCTTCAGATATTTTGTCATTGTAGATTTTAATGTGGCCAAGCAAAAACGCAAAAATTTTTCTGGGGCCTAGCTTCAAATGCTTAAGAACTGTCCTGTCGAGCGTGCCACGGAATACAAAAAATTTGTATCTGCGAGGAAATTTTTAACTTTCTGGATGTGGGTTTTTTCGTGAGTGTAACTTTTTACACCGATGTAGCGTAGCGAAATAGCTATGGAATCAAATGATGAAACTTCTCTTTTCCGGATCGGTTGAAACTTGAAAATACCGGGATACCCAATAACCAATTTCACAAGTTTAAAATAAACTCAATTATCTTTGCTACTATGTAGATATAATTAGCAATTATAACAACAATTTGCTCTCAAAATTCAGTTTATTGAAACGGAAAAACTCAATTTAACCGACCAGAAATTACCCAAATTTCAAAGTTACGATTTTTCCCAATTATTTCTATTTGACTAAGAGCCCAAATTTCTGTCTTTAATCGCGCTTCATAAATTCACCTTTCAAATAAGTAGCACAGTTAGCTCATGCAGGTCACGGGATGTAACTAATGATTTAATTTTCAGACAGGAGAAGGAGGGATTGCACAAGCGAGAGCGAGATGACGGTCCCATCAAGTCCATGTCGTCATGTAAGTCTACAACTTGACATCTCCTGCCAATTAAATCGTAATACTAATACTGTTTCCGGCGAAATTTAATTGTAAGCTCTTTTTCTTTTGAAGGTTTTCGTAATTAACTGACCAGCTGTTCACCGTATATGGACTTATAATTCAAGCTCTGTAAATATGCCAGAGGATAGTTTAACTTAACAAATGTTCAGCTTTTCACCAGCTATTTATAACAGGTAGTTATTACAACAAGGCTTCAGCTGACTCTCTGACGGAACGGCGAGCCAAGCGAATGTGCCTGTCTAGCCCGAGTTACGCCTTCCAACGCCACCCATCTCTTGATATAGGTCAGTATTATCATCTCTTGTAGATTTTAGCTCAGCTGACTTGGTACGTTGTCAGTAGTAACTTTCCTCGGAGGTATGATCCTAAAGCATGTACCGCTGATGAGTTGCACTGTACATTACTAGCCTCAGTGATCGTTACCCAAGATCACGGGCAGCTAGCTACAGATAATATTTGTTTTACTGATAGCAGCACTGTATAATATCACCTAGGTGTTAAATTCAGACTTCTAAAAAACACCGTTTGTGCACTGCAGCGCCGTGTTGTATTGTAGTAGCTGTGGGTAGACGTACACCCAGCTGTGTCTCGATATATTTGACAAAAATTCAGGACAATAAGAACTGATCACTGGCTTCACCTGAATATTGCATTAAACCTACAAGGCCTGAAATACTGGTATTGTTTGATATAACTGAGTTAAAAGTCTGCCGTGTTAACTTCAATACTATTTGATCACGTGTGTCGTGATCACGTGACAGTTGACTAACCACGTGGTATCCAGGGAGGGTGAGCAGCACGACTAACTCTGGACTGCAGGGGTTCCAGACCGAATCGTTACAACCCACCCCCTATACCCCCGTTACTCCGGTCTCCGATATCTGGTCTCAAACTTCTCCATTTACCCCTCACACTGAATCTTATTGGACTTGTGAGTATAACTATAGATGCTTCGTTAAATCTAAGATTTGACTATTCCCTAAAAATTAGTAACTTCTCATTCTGCTTGACATATTAATGTTGCACTTTTCAAGAAAGGAATTTGGCATTTATAGCTGTAGGAATGTGGCATTTTATTACTACATTCTGATCTAGCCGCTGTTAGAATAAATTATGACGTGGATTGTGTACAGTCTGTAGTATGATTCTCTAACCCCCTGTCTGTCCTCAGCATCTTACAACACGTACAGTGCCGCCCTGCAACCCTACCTTCCGGTCACCTCCACTTACACACCTCCCTCTTCCATACCGCCTCGTGTCAAGGTAGGACATTCCTTCTCTTTCCAAAGAAATACCTGCGAAATTCCTGGCAATTCTTAAGATAACCCGGCAAGCTGAGGCATTCCATTGTGCTAACATTGGTCTAGGAAAGCCAAAGAAGAGTGAGCTGTAGCTGTTGGTTGCAAGTTTAACTCTTAAGTGTTGGAGCCGTTGGAACTCGAAGGTGATGATGTTTTGCAAGTTTGCTGGGAAGCCGGACGATGCAAGCTCCTGTTTAAAGTTATTGCAGCACGTATTAACACTCAGGTCTGCGGTTAGAGTGCACCCATACAATATACATGAGGGTTTACTGAGGGGCTTCTCCGGCATGCAGGGTTACTCGTTAGTCGTTACTTTGAACCTTTTCAATGATAACTAAAACCAAATCTATTTCAGGAGGAACCAACAGAGCCAACAATCGGTACCACCATCACTACAGACCTGTTCACAGCTGATCCTTCAGCTGTGAACAATCACGAGGACGTGGGTACTAGTTATCTGCCTTGGGGCACCCCCGGGTTTGACACAAGGCGGTCCCTCATTGAACCAACTCCCCAGTTCCCGTGAAGAAATTCAGAAGTTGTTTTGATGTGAAATAAAGCTGTGCTTACACACAATTTGCTCGAAAACGTGAGGAAGAAAATTATTCGTTCGACAGAGTAGATAAGCTGGATTTATTGCTTCTGTTTGGGATCAAGACTGTGAGAAATTTAGCCGTTATTCCGTTGGGAATCAGAATAAGTTGCAGAGGACAATTAGTTGATTTTTGATACGAAAGCATTTTGTTTTAATTCCTTATTTCAATTTTATAAAGCATATTCATTAAATTCGCTTATTGGAAAATTCGAGTTTCATTTAGTGTAATGACAAAATCAGAAACGTAATTTGATGAAACTTTGTACAATATAAATATTACATCTAAAAAAATATAATATACAATTCTTCGTGTTTCCTCCTAAAACTACCGTTGGTGTTCCGTTGGCCTAAGTCGACTTTGCAAGCAAAGTTGCCCTGGTATTATAATCAGCCTGGCGGGCAAGGTGTTAGAATCCTTAGGTCTTCTATAATGTCCTTCTTAGAAGCATTTCCTGTGGACAATTGCGGGACCAGACTCGTCATATTCTTGCTTGGAGATCCACATCTGAAGTGGTGCTCGGTTAGAATTGAATAATAATTGAATAACGAGGACTGGTGGTTAAGGATAAGGTCATTGTTCAAAATATTCCACTGCTGAGTGCACTTACAGTGCGCCGTAAAGGTTGCTGCATGAGGAATTTGTGGCTTAGGGTTGTCCACGAGGAGTCATTCGGTTTATAATCCATAAAAGTTTTCGGCACAAATATGTCGACTCCGATTCAAATAAGTAAATAAATGTTAAAAAACATGCACGAACCTGCTGGAAGGTGGACAGAGAAGCAAGGATGGATCCTCCGATCCATACGGAGTATTTCCTCTCTGGAGGAGCAATGATCTTGATCTTCATTGTGGGTGGGGCAAGAGTGGTGATCTCCTTCTGCATCCTGTCACCGATACCTGCAACAAACATTCATTAGTCAAATTCATATTCTCAATACCCTACATACAGTAGTAATTTGTATCTCCAGTAATATGTAAATCGTCAGAATTACTATCTTGAAGGTTTAGGTTTTTTTGTAATCTCATAGTCAAACTATCATAATTGAAATACATTAGTAATAATTGTTTTCATCAGGACTTACCGGGGTACATGGTGGTTCCTCCGGAAAGGACGGTGTTGGCGTACAGATCCTTACGGATATCAATATCGCACTTCATGATGGAGTTGTAGGTGTTCTCGTGGATGCCGGGGATTTCAAGACCTGGTGAAAAAATTCAGGTAAAAATTAAGACTTGGACTTTATGTCTGGTTCTCATAATTCAAAAACCAACTTAGTGAGTTGTGGTGATTTGCCTGTTTACTATAATGTGAATTAGTAACAGCTGTAATATTGAGTTTGGTGGTCCATCCCAAGTTTAAGCAGACACTGTTGCTTGACAAATATTTGGAGGTGCTAAGTGTTGAAACCACTTACCAATGAAGGCGGGCTGGAAGAGTGCCTCTGGAGCCCTGAATCTCTCGTTTCCGACGGTGATGACCTGTCCGTCGGGGAGTTCGTAGGACTTCTCGAGAGAGCTGGAGCTGGCAGCGGTCTGCATCTCCTGCTCGAAGTCGAGAGCGACGTAGCAGAGTTTCTCCTTGATGTCACGGACGATTTCCCTCTCAGCGGTGGTGGTGAAAGAGTAACCCCTCTCGGTCAGGATCTTGGTCAAGTAGTCGGTCAGATCTCGGCCAGCCAAATCCAGACGGATGATGGCGTGAGGGAGGGCATAACCTGAAATATTTTGCGGTGAAAATAATGAAATGATGACCGCGAAAGTTTTGTCGACAATCATGCGATCTAAATAGAAATAAATGTATGATAGTTTGTAAGATAAACTATTGATATTGAAATTATAGATCGTACTGAATGATCAATAGTTAACCTGTAACCGTTTCTAAGTGCTCATTTAAGAAAACAAATTGGATTCAGAAAACTGCTAATAAATTATAACTGTAAAACAACTGACCTTCATAGATTGGGACGGTGTGGGTAACACCATCTCCAGAATCCAGAACGATACCGGTGGTTCGGCCGGAAGCGTACAGGGAGAGGACAGCCTGGATAGCGACGTACATAGCGGGGCAGTTGAAGGTCTCGAACATGATTTGGGTCATCTTCTCTCTGTTGGCCTTAGGGTTGAGGGGAGCCTCGGTCAGAAGGACGGGGTGTTCCTCGGGGGCGACACGGAGCTCGTTGTAGAAGGTATGATGCCAGATCTTCTCCATATCATCCCAGTTGGTGACGATTCCGTGCTCGATGGGGTACTTCAGGGTGAGGATACCTCTCTTGCTCTGGGCTTCGTCTCCTACGTAGGAGTCCTTCTGTCCCATGCCGACCATGACACCTTGATGTCTGGGTCGTCCAACGATGGAGGGGAAGACAGCTCGGGGAGCGTCATCTCCAGCAAAACCGGCTTTGCACATACCTGAAACAAAACTTATTAGCTCTTCTGAAGTTGGATGTCCAATTTCGTAGAACTAGACAGGTTCGAGTACTTACTACTTTTTTCAATATCTGTATCCAATTTTATGGCCATGTGTACTATTCTCAATTTTTTTTGGTTGCTCAAATTAAAAAAGAAATGAAAAAAGGATGTTCCCGAATTAATATTGAAGAGAAATTCATAACCATTTAATTCTTAACTAGGCCGCGCTCAGCCTGTCATTCCGCCTAATCTCTAAGTCTATTCCGCCTAATCTCTATTTGCTTCCAAAATTAGAAGGAATTCTATTGCATCGAAAAGCTAAGGTAGAAAATGTTGTACAATTCGTGGCCATCTAAATATCTAATTCTATGCTTCAAAAATTGAATCGAAAAGAAAGTTGAAAATATTGTAAAATTCGTGGCCATCTAATTCTATCTTTCAAAAATTGGATCGAAAATAAAGTTGAAAATATTGTAAAATTTGAGGCCATCTAATTCTATTCTCCCTAATTTTAATTAATAATATTGTAAAAGTAAAATTCCTGGCCATTTAATTGCATGATTCAATGTTCAAATTGAAGTGAAAAGAAAGTTTGAAAAACTGTATAATTCGGGACCATCCAACTCTATGCTCCCAAATTTAAATCGAAAATTAAATTGGACATTCAGGAAACTTCGTCTATTCTCTGTTTAATTTGATCCCTTTTAAATGCTCAAACTTTTTGGCATAAAGGTGTAAACTCAGTTGTTTAATTCATCAGGTATTATGCAGTTTATATTAACTTTTAACTTTATGAAGCGTAAAATTAAAAAGGCTAAAACCTAGAGTTTTTGTTGCTTTCTTTATGCAGCATTTGATTTTTAAAATCTCTAATTTTAGATTCAAAGTAAGAGTTGATTAGAAAATTAATACTACTATATAGTATATAGTGGATTAGTACAATAATTGACTCAGACTCTAAAAGTAAGTGTGAGAAAGTTAGTATAGCGTAATAAAGTAGTAATTACCTGATCCATTGTCGACAACAATAGCGGGTGTTTCGTCCTCCATGTTTAGAGCTGTTTAATCAAGATAATACAACACACAACTAAGGTTAACAAGAGATTTGATTTCGAGTACTGGCCTGTAAAATGTTTTATAGCACTTGCATCAACAGGTTTCCACGGACCAATCAGCGCTGACTTTGCTCCCAATTCTCGGGATTGCAGATTAAATGACCATATTTGGTAGTGCAGCTGTCTAACGAGCCGCTTAGAAAATTTCTCGATGACATTCAGCTTTCAGCGCAGCCCGGTGTACCACAATTCTATATCGGAGTTGAGCACTTGACAGGGAGTTGACCAATGAAGAACCTGCTGTCAGATCACGTGACTCAGTTGACTGCGGTGGAGCTCCACGGAGTTGGACATGTCCGGTAGTTGTCGGAGAAGCGGTATCAGTGCATCTCAGCTTCTTGTTGTGAAGCTGTTCAATGCCTTGCTCACTTTTCATCACCCCTTGCCCTGCCACATCCATCAGGCTGTTAGATTTTGGTTTATTGCCGCATCTTCAATATTATAATGTATGCAAATACCTACTCGCGAATAGTGTTACATTCTCAGATTTTCAAACTGATCTAATTTTGTCCATTTATGTACAGAAGCCTTGACTTGAATTCGGAATCCGAAACCAACTCCAAGCGCCGCTAATCACGGAGAGGATGACAAATTTGATTGATTATCACTTGAAGAATTGGAAACCCTCCAAGTCCAATAACACACTCCTGCTCATAGTCATAATTTCATAATCCTATGATGGTCATCTCTTAGTTGTCCATTAAAATGGGCTAGAAAATGAAAAAAGAGGACGATGATTACACGGATAACAAGACCGCCACATTTCAGACAGTAAATATTCTGATTTGAGGGGGACTATGGGAAAAAGTTAGTCGTTGCCATGGAGGCAGTGTCCGGAGGATGTACACGAGTCATGCCACCTGATGGCTGGCCCACTAACTTTGTTATACTTTACATTTCGTATCGTTTTATCCGCGGCTACAATGCGATAGTTGGATGGAATGTTTGATCATGAGGAAGGATGAGCCATGACAAGACCTCTGCCAAGGTGAAATTTCTATAACTACAGATTAAGATAAACTAGCGATTAAGATAAACTAGCGATTAAGATAGACTAGGGATTAAGATAGACTTTTCCCATTTGAGTTCTTTTCGGATATTAGATTCTTCAGTATCAATGTCCAGTTTTGATATCTACAGTATGTGGTTACAAATTCAGCTCGGCAAATAGCAATGGTGTGTCATTTTTATCAGGCTCTTCTTTACATGTAATTGTATTCAGGAATTATTGAAGTAGAAACTTTTAACTGAACCCTCCTTCAACTCCCTCTCCAGGCAGGGCTAAACCGAAGCCACCAACCCTCTCACCAGCCCTACATCCCCTCCCAGTACCCCCGACGTAGTCTCCGCCAGACCCGACCCTCTTGTGATGAGCTGGACAACTCTTGTGTACTCTCGGAGACCAGTGCTGCATCACTGGACATCCTGGACAGAGGGACCCCCATCATGCTGCTTCAATATGAGGTACTAATTATCCAGTCATTATCTAGTCATTATCTATCTTCATTACAGTGCCTCGCCTCGTGGAGATCCAATACAATACTGCTTCATTCAAGTTACTCTGCACTTTTCGGATTGTTAATAAACATCTGAAGGGCGGATAGTACCAACATGATTCCTGAATTTATTATATTCTATAAATGGCTTCGTGGCGTTGGGAGTGTTTAAAATCGTACAGGAAATAAGTTACCATTTCTTAGAGTATTAATAACGGTAAGCAATATCTTCGAGTTCTGGCAACAGGCTACTGAAAATTTATCCATCTTTATCCACCTGAAATTGAGCAATATTTATTCAACCATGAGTTCCGGTTTTTATGTAAAAATATCATGCACCAAAATCGCTAATTTTCCGTGGCAGTTTTCTGAAGCACGAGGAAGATTATTTGAAAATAATTTATAAACCTCCACATTCTTGTCTTCATCACAGCAATTTTCATTGATTTTTGCATACAAAAGTACATTAACATATTATGTAGATCCTAATCATAGATAGATATGCACTCTACTCCGGCACACATAGTCATACTTAGCACTATCGACATTATGTTTTGAAAACTCCAGGTTTCTCGCAAGTACTCACTAAATCATGAAGTGCATGATTTAGAGGCTATTATTCTCTCACCAACCTACTACAAATTACTACGTCCAGAGCAAACAAACAAATTTAGTTGGCACCCTCTATTTGTTGGAGGTGTAGTGACGAATATATTGACACTGTGATAGTTACTCGTCCAGGCTCCAGTATCGTGACTACTATGTGAATTGTGGCAATTATTCGATAGAAATGCTCAGAAATGAGCTCACATAAAACTAGACCTCCAATAAAGGCGAGATTGTTGGAACATCCTCCACTCCGGTGAGTTTCCGGAGTCACGTGATGGTCTCGAAGAGCTCTGAACTTATCTGGTCCGGTCTTAGCAGCTGAATTTTACACACATGCTCGATATTCTCAGCTTTTGTCTGAAGGGTTGGTTTCAGGGATGATGGCAGGGTGTGCATGGAGTCGGTCCACGTGCCGGGCATTGTGTAAAGTAGTGGCATTAAAAGATGGGAACTTAACAAACACTTGGTAAACCAGTTTTATCACACGAGTTCCTACTCGCTGGTCAAGTGAGCAGGGTTGTAATGAATTAATGAAATTAAACAATAAAACCATGCTCGCTCTCTCTGGAACGATTAGTACTATTCTGTAGTTCTGGTGTGCATTTTCACACTTGAGGAGAGAAGTAGGTCTATAAGGTAGGTACTTAACAAGCTGGGAAAGTTTTTACACTAATCGTCTGGTTTCTAATTCCGTAAAACTGTCATTAGTGAGGCGCGGGTAAAAAACTGAAACTCATAATAGAAAGCTTATAAACAGTGGCACGGATGTTGAGTCTCATCTTCAACTCCTTCAGGGTTCGACTGACAAGTCAGTACAAGATCTAGATGCAGGGTCCCCACTGTTCTTAGAGAGGTTAGACTCCTCAAGAAACTCAAATAACTCGTCTACGGGGAGCAAGAGAAAAGCACAGCCCAAGAAAAAAGAAGGATTCGGGGCTGTGTGGGCTTCTAGGAGTGAGTTAAATCAGAAGTTGGGAAAACGAATTTTGAAATTGTGTTAGTTTCTGATAATTTCATACTTAATGCAATTTCATCATTCAATCACAGTACTGAGTACAACCATTGTTTTGTATATACACACACAGTGTTTTACGTCGTGGAAGGGTCTGGAATGTTATTTTAAACTTCGAGATTTTACCACTAGATTCCTTGAATAAGGTGTTAGGGTTATAACGGGTTACCGTTATGGCAATGGTCGGCTAAAGTTGGGGATAGAGTTAGAGTTACGGTTATTGCTAGGTGTAAGGTTACGACTAAGGATGAAAATGAGGGAGTGGTAATATTAAATTCTGAAATTACGCTATTTTCATCCATTGAATAAATGTATTCATGACATATCACTGATAAATATCCAGGTAGTCAAGGATCAAAATCAGCCAAATCCCAAAAAACCCCGGACACATACCAGACTGTCCCCAAACAGCGTTACCCCATCTCCCCTACAGACGGTCCCTCGCCTCAATATTGCATGACGTCATCATCCCCCGTGACATCTGGTATGACGTCACTACCTGCTGATCTTAACGAGATGGCATCATTCCCTGGTGATTGTAGTGATGTGACCTCTCAAACTACCAGTATTACAGACCAGAGGGACACGCCCTTAACTTCCTCAAGTGTTCAAACTGTGGTTACGTGCTCTGAGGTGCCCCAACCCCCTCCGGTGGAAATAAGCGGGTCTCCGACAAGAGTGACATGTTTTAAACCAATAGCCTCCAGACCAAACAGTGGGACCAACAGAGGAACTTGTCCTGATAATATGACTCTTACTGTGCCAGGTAATTTGTCCCTTTTAACATTTATTAAGCATCAAATATTACGAGCGAATAGCAATGCGCATTCTTGTATTTAATAGGTCCCTTATCTTTGTGCTTTACGGGACTATATCACGAGTTGGAGATTAATTAATTTCTCTCCACTTAGCAGTGCTTGCTATTGTGCTGCCTACAAAATGGCTGCATCCAAAGGAACAATAAAGCGAGTATGTAGTCATGACTTTACTAGGAAACCTCTCTTTTGTCGTAAAACAATGCGTTCCTCGAGTTGCAAGTTTACGAACGTACATTTAACTTGCTAAAAGTTTTTGTACTCTATTTCAATGACCTTAGATAAACCTTTCGTCTGTTTTTGTTGCAAGCTTCCGATCGCTACATGATAATAAACTCTAAATAGTTTGAGTGTAGTATGAGAATCTGATGAATGTTGAGTCGATGCCGCACTATCATTTTAGGTCCTTGAGTTTAAAAGGTAGGAGTTAATATAACTAGCCGGTTAGTTGCCGGTTTGAAAATATAGATTCGCTGCTGGCTCTTAAGTGGTGTAGAACGGTTGCGTCGTAGAATTGGTATTAGCCGGCTCTGGACGGTTATTGACTGCAGGTCTAGACCGGCTCTAGAGTCTAGAGCGATGGTTCAACTTTCTGTTAAGTATCGCCTCCCGAAAACGGCCACATGCTTTTCTAAACAGTTGCTATGCTCCGATCCAATGTTGGATCTAAGAAACATAATTCTCTTCCGTTTTCAGACGTAGCGACAGACAGATCTCGACCCAATTCCCCATCCTGCATTCCTAACCATCTCTCAGCACCCTCACTGATAGTGGACCCCAACATTCAACCTGATGAAATAGAGATTGAGTTCCAGGTAAGTGGCTTGTACATCACCTCCCCTGTCGATCCAGCCCCTCTTCTCCTCCCTCTTCTCCTCCCTCTCCTGTCGATCCAAATTCCAACCCCTTTTCTCCTCCCTCTCCTCGTTTGTGAATGTGGGAATCTTTTGTGTCGGAACGTACGGTTTTTACATATCTAGGATTACGAATGTTCCGTCTGATCTTTGTGTAAACTCCATAATTACTAAAATGCTTGTAATGTGAAATTCCAGACCTCCATGTTCCTCTGTTCTGAAAATATTTGCTGTAAGCGTGCTATGTGTTAGTTTGTTAATAGAAATATGTCATTTAAGTGAAATTTATCATGCTCTCTCCTTTGTTCCTTGAAATTCGTGGTATCTTGCTAATTTGTCACTACCCTCAGATTGCTTTACTAATCTCCGAAATCCATTCGAGTTCACGTTTCCATAGCAACCAATATCACTGCATTCGAATGAAAGATAGGATATTTAACTTATGAACCTTTACTCGTCACTAACAACCCGCTTGTTACCCGAAACTCCAAATTAAATAAAGTCTTGCCCGAAACTTAAGTGGCACTTTGGGTCAATTTTCGATTGATGGCTTTGATACATTCCAACCATACTGAAATACATAACATACCTCTGAAGCGTTTTACGTAATCCGTGTGTTGCTAGGACGAGGGCCCGATCTCTCACTCTCTCTCCCTTGCTGTATCCGTCTGGTAATAAGTAAATTTGAATTGTAAACATCACTGTTGAGTGTCGTGTTACTGGTGTTACGTTGTGTCTTGATGAAGCTACCTTTCTTCTGCTCTCACCATGATTGATCGTGGTAACAGGCGGGGCATTTTAAAAACCCGGTCTACCCCCGATTGCTTGCCCGAGTTGGAAATACCAGATGTGAGTGTATGATTTAGACTGATTTTTGTTTAGCATCTCGATCGTTATTTGTTCGTTCTCGGTTCTTCCTTTTACAAGGTTACAAGTTCATGTTTATTTACAGCTCCAAGATGAGTTGATTATTATGTGACTATGGTTATCATCTGGTTCCCAATTAACATAATCACTTCACTGCTTCACAGGTTGAACCAGGTTACACGTTTAACCCTCTCCGTATGCCGTCTTCAAAGAACTCTTCAAAGAACAAGATATCCTTTTCTCCGGAGCCCCCAGCTAAACTAGCTCGCTCTATGTCTGCAAGGTCTCCCCCCATCAATACCAGATCTCCCTCTCCCACCAAGTAAATTTCCAGGCGCAATTTTGTCGTTGCCATTTGTCCGTAGTTTAACATTTGAAATAGATACCTGATCCAAATCCACCAATTTAGCTTCCTTAAATATTCACCTTCACGTTTTGGCTGACATTCTTGTTTCTTAGACAGGACACAAAACCTGGGTTGGTACGATCTGCAAAAGGAAACAGCTTCATGAAGATGATCAAAAAGGCTAAGGCAAGTAACAAGCACTCAAGCACTGTAACTTCAACTGTCAATGCATCGATATAACCAAATTTATAAGCGATAAAGTTGTAACCTGAATGCAACATCTCAATTTCAAAGTAACAAAATAGCTCGAATCATAGCATAGTTCAATGAAATTAATAACCTGTGCAATTAAATCACTCTCTCTACTGTTCACGGGACGGTGGGTCTGTCAACAGGCACATTTCGTTACATAGCTGGTGAATTAACTCGTACCTCTAGGGAACCAAGAAAGGATCAGCTAGTCCTTCCCACTCCCTGCCCACATCACCAGCTGCCTCCAAGAAATCTAGTCCTACTAAAGAACCGCCCCTGTCTCCGGGATCTGTCAATACTTCCCCAAAGAGAGGCCTGCCGTTAGTTGTTCTACATTTTATTTAACTTTGCTTAGACCTTAATTTACTGGGAGTTGCTAGAAATTTGTATTTGTTCTGTATATCTTTGTAGTGAAGTATCTCTAAAACCCTCCCCTACAGATCAGGTGAACAGAATCTGATCCGTATCTGGGCGGATCAGATAGACGGAGGTGTCGAGGGTTACAAAGGTTTCCTGATCTCACCAGATACCACTGCTAGAGAACTCCTGGTCACTGTTCACAGCAAACTTAATCTTCCTGGGACTGATAAGGACTTTTTCCTCTGCGCTAAATTCTTTCAATCCTCTAGTATGTTTAATGTTACATTTTTGTGAACTTGAGAATGAATAATTGACTTCAGTTTGATTGTTTAAAATCTATTTTACCATGCTATTTTCTATAAACTTCATCGGGACGTCACCTCAAACGGGATATATTATTCCAGTATCAGATCGACCCCTAATGGATACAGATAGACCTCTTTTTCTCCACGAGGATTGGGATGCCAATGAAAATTACAGATTTGAAGTCAGACAGAAACCGAAAGCTATTATGATGGTGGGATAACTGTTTTAGGACTTAATACAAGAATTTGTGGCCTACACTATTCAAAATTTACTTTGCCAGTTAACTAAGATAGATCCAAAATAAAATTATGTTAGTAAACATTTTGTTTGACCAGGTATTTGGGGACGAGCAGCTGCACTTCTCCAAAAACCCCTTCAGAAGAGGAGCTGCTGAAGTTGCTGAAGATGCCACCACCGCCAGAATAATATCTGAACTTGTCAACAAATACCAGTTAGATCCTTGCCAGAGATATCATCTGATGGAACGGCGTCCTAACTTCGGTTTGTTTGATAAAATACTGAAAGTTGAAAACTCTAGATTTGTCACCTATCTAATAGTAATACAAGAATGTACTGAATTTTTCGTTTTTATGGTTTATTCACAAGTTTCATAAGTCAAAACCTTAGATCGAGTACTGAGAAGTACGGACTGTCCCGTTTTACTACAGAGAAAGTGGCTACCATTCGAAGATGTCAAATTCGTTCTAGGTCTCTCACCTTCGACTCCTGAGGTGAACTTTCAATCTTAACACAATTGGTTATCCGAGCTCTGGTCCTAAAAATTATATTCATATTTAATTGGTCTAATATATATTGGTCTAATAAAGTTTTGAAACATCTTAAATTAAGCTAAAGATCACCTTATTTCAGTCATTTGGTCAGCTAGCGGCTCCCAGCCAATTCTCCTCAAAAGTGTCCAGCTCAGGAATGCAGGAATCCAACACAGATTTCACAACCGTCACACCATTTAGCAGTGTGGTTTCCCAACAACAACAGAACAGATTCCCATTCGAACCCTCCAGCTCTTCAATAGGAACAATAGAAACACTGGGTCCTGGCGAGGTTCCTGATTTCGAGTCAGCTGACCTGTTCAACTATTCTGATGCCACCTCTCCGAGGTTCGGTTGTTTGTCCATGTGGCTCATCGTACTATTTTTATTTGGTTTTGTAACTAATTTACTGTTATGTGAATCACTTGATCCAATTGTTGAATCTTTGAAATGGAGCTGTTACACAACTGGCATTTAAATATTTCCAATTCCAGATCGTTGGAAATTCCAGAAGAATTCCCGTTGCTTGAAGAAGACCTGTCGGGACATCTTGAGTTGGGTAATCAGGAAATAGACTCCAGACAACAGAAGATAAGCTCAGGGTTTGAGGAGATGCAGAATAGATGGCTGGGATTGCAACATCCTCCTGAATTCCGTAAGTCGTGGACCTCTCCATGAAATATCGTTATTCAACCCCCCTTATTTAAATATTTAATTTCAAGCGGGGGTGTGCTTCGAATTGTTGCCATGGTTACCGCTTATGATATTAACATAATTATGCCGCATCTAATTAAACCGATCCATTGTTGTATCGATTTCTTTTGATTACGTATGTCACTGAAAACCTACATTATAATGTAGGTTTTCAGTGACTGAAGGAATTTCGTCGATATATCGACGAAATTCCTTCAGTCGAAAATTCTACCGAAATTTGTATGGAATTTAGCGTTCTATAAATAAATTTGCACTTTAATAACTCTATACAAGAGGCACACAAATTCTTGATAAAATTTAAGAGTTTATCAAAATGGCCAGTATTTCACTGATCAAAATTCCCACTGGTTCCTTCAGTCTTCTCCAAGGTATGTCTTCTAAAAGTATCATATGAACTGTTTGAAGTCTAATTATATCTTTCCTCAGGTTTTATCAAAAGGTCCTCCTCGGGAGACATTGAAGGAATAGAAGAGCACTTGTTCGCAGATCTGCACGCTGATCTACTTGCTCACGGATCCCCTCCCGCTCTAGATGCCAACAGTTTCGTTCACAGCGAGTTTCTAGACAGTTCCGGTACCCCAATAAACCAATCCTACACCAACTCAGACTTCTACACCCCTTCACCGAGACACAATAAAATGGACCAGGAGTCTCCCGAGTCAAGTTACTCAACAGACTACGACAAGCCCGCTCTAAATATTACTAGTCAGTCCTTCCGGATGAGTTTCGGGACCTCTAACGGCAGTGACGGTGAATCGGATCCTGAGCTGTTCATTACAGCTAAGAGTGCGTTAGAACAGAGCTCATGTTGTTCAGATAGCGGGGTGAACGTGAGCGATGGAAGTAGCTACCGTCCTGCTGATCACGAGAGTTTTGAGGAGCAAGACGAGGATCTCACCATCCCCGTCTTCAACATCACCTCCCCAACCACAGACCTAGAACATTCTATCAGGGGCAGCTCCGAAAACGAGAGACAGCCTCCTTCAGGATCGGAGTGCAGCACTCCCAGGAAACTGTCTGTGGCTAGCCATGGTAATCCTCTTCATGAGATGAGTTGGGATAACTTTGACATCGGTAGAAACGACTTTGAGACTGATGAGGAGTATGATAAATATTTGACTCATGTAAAAGCTCAAGCGGAGTTGAAACACAAAAATGTGGAACTGATTGGTGACTATAGTGCTGTTTCTGACAGCGAAACTGTTGAGATCAATAACGACCATTCTATTAATAATACTGCCGACAGTCAAGATATAACGATTCTCCAAGATTCCATGTCTGCCCACAACGAAATGTCCGATAAGGATAATGTTTACGACACTTCAGTGGAGGACTCAGACATCAGCTTCCCTACTGAAGCCGATTTTCCAACAGATATAAGTTTCCCAGCTGATCAGATTGAAACAGATATAAGTTTCCCAGCCGATCAGATTGAAACAGATATAAGTTTCCCAGCTGATCAGATAGAAGATGACATGAAATCACCCAGAGAAGATGATATGAAATCACCCGAGGCTGATGGACTACCCATGACTGAAAGTCTAGCTCTTCTCGCTGAAACTAAAAAGTTGTACAGTGCTTTAGAGGAAAAAACAAGTTTACTGGAGGAAAAGTATTTTAGTCCTGAAAAGATGAAGTGCGCTCTCAGTGACCCTATGGGTTCTTTTGTCCTTGAAGAACAAGACGAGCCCTATCATGAACAGAAAGAACATTCTGTTAGCGATGACCGACCTGTTTATGAACTACAACAACAGTTTGTTGAAGAACTGCAGCAGCAATTTGTGGATGAACTGCGAAAACCGGTTGACGATGGACAACAGAAACAGTTTTCTAATGATATAGCCAAGCCAGATGAGAGTGACCTCTCTGAAGGGGTGTCAGAACAAAAAGCCGGGTTGATATCTAGATCAATAGAATTTTTTGAACAATGTGCCCAGTCGTCATCCACTGATTCGTCTCCTACTAAACCCAATGAGAGGCTGATGAAAGGAACCCCTCCCAAGACCCCCAGTAAAGCTCAGAAACTAAAGAAAACTCGTCGGCCCTCCAGACCGAGATCGACTGATGATACCTCTTCTCAAGCCTCAGATAGATCTTTGAAACGTGATCCTCTCATTCAATCTTCTAGTATTGATGAGGATTGTGTTGATATTCCTGAAGTTATTGCTGGAACTTTGGCCCCAGCTGCTAAACGTCCGAAAAGTCCACCTAAACTGCTACCAAAACCAAAAAGTCCTAGTGTTAAGTCTAAGTCCCCGATTGAAAGCGGAAATGATAGTATGGATTGTAAAGTGGCTGTGGATGGAGATCCAACAGTACCGAGCCCAGACTTTTCGAATGAGGGTCTGACAAAACAAAGGTTAGACGCTATTGTCCCCTGCAAAATAACGCGGAGACCCCATCATAAATCAGGAACTTCGCTATCTCAGCCTTCCATCGAGACTGGTACCACGGAAATTTCTAGAACAACAGCATCCACAAATTCTACTGCCATTCTACGCGAGTCTGTCGACAATCTCAGATTTGAAATTGACGAACTTGTCAATGACTGCGGGGAGAGTTTTGCTACTTCGTTAGATACAGACAGGCATTGTTTTAGCGATTCAACGTACAATCAGAGCCTGCAAAACAACTCTAACGTTTATGATGACACTCTTGTCAGTGATTCCGATGAAATTATCTCGTCTGAATCAGATTTCTCCAACCCAGTTATTCTCGATGAATACTGCTCAGATCCTGAAGCAGCAGCATGTGAGCTGGAGGAGTTGTTCCAATCCTATCTGCCTGGTCCACCTGAGAATAGGGGGACTGTGGGAATAGAGGTGACTTATCACTCGGACAAATCCGATTCTGAGGATATACATTATGAAGAATGTGAAATAAGTGAGTCTCCTTTCGATGAAAACACTCATGTTATTGAACCAGAAGAAGTTCCTGATGTTAATTCTGTTCTCATACTATATAACTCCAATGTTCAGGAACATCCTCATCTTCAGAATCATGTTATTGAGGTAGCTTCTACACTCAGTGACACCGAATCTATGTCACTCCAGCTTGTAGAATGTCTCTCTATCACATCAGTTGACGAAGTGATTCCCGTCATTGAAACGACTGAAGTGATACAAGTCGACTGCCTCCAAACAGATGTGTTATCTGACTGCCAGAGTGTCTCCTCGGCATCTAAGTATATGGTGGATGAGGGTGAAGCTGTCATGTCTGACGTGGAGTCGGTTCCTGACTGGCTTGCATCAGACACAGAAGAGTTTACAGATATCCTTAGTCAACATATGAGTAGTCCTCTTGGGGTACAAGTTGACACAGGTGCTGGCTCTTCTTTGATTTGTTTAAATGGTGATGAGGGTTCAGCTGATAATGAACAGGATTCTACGGACTACATAGACGTCTCAGATCCTTTTGATAACACGTTTGTCATTGAAGAGTTGTCTCTTAGTGCACTGAGTGAAACCAAACCAGAGCCAAAATCAGACCAGATGAAACATTCTGAGGTCACCACCTGTGAGGAAGATTCTTGGTCACCATCTGAATCAAGCGAGTCTATCCGCAAACCACTGGTTCGTAAACCAAGTATAGTTGACGATCTCATGGACCGATACCTAAGTCCCCCTGGAGATCTTGATTTGAAATTAGGGATAAAGGAGCACGTTCCCGGATGTGAAAACTTTCCTGAGGACCAGGAGCCAGAAGAGATAGACACAGTGGCTAATGACGAACCAATACTTCAACAAAGTCAAGAGAATAAGCTGATTGAAGAGTTCTCGCAAACTGGCGATGTGGAAATTAAACTTAATAGACCAAATCGTGCTGATTCGGATGATATGGATTCTTTCTACGACGATGACTTCCATGATGACCCTTCGGAAACAGTAGGACATGGTGACACGAGATATCCTAATTTGCCTTCAGTTGAAATAGAAAGTGAAAGTGATTATCATGGTGATATCAATATTCGATACAATTCACTCGACATTGTCCAGCATCCGTGCTGTCCTTCAACTGAACCTGAGACAGAAACAGACACTGGAGACTTTCACACTCCTCAGCCAACCGAACATGAAACCGAAAGTGATTCCGAAAGTGAACTTGATTCCCCAGATCCCAGATACAGATCACCACATGCCAGGCCCGACAACTCTTACGGTGCTGCTTATGATGACTTAGAAACCTCAGAATCAGAAACCTCCGAATCTGAAGTTTCCGAGTACGAGACTTTAAATGGAAACTACCGACATCTGTGTTCTAGACTTGATAAGTTGAGGACCACCTTCAAGAAGGATAAGTTTAACAGGATCCTGGATCTGGAGCAAGATGAAGCTACTGGGTTGACATTATACGAGATAAAACTCCCGTGTATTACCGAGGAGGATGATTGTGAGGAGTTACCCTCCGATCAGATCAACAAAATGATGCCTCATGTAAGTATTTTAAACCCCCACTTGTTTGTTCAAACTTTCATGATCAAGCTAGCGTGGTCAAGCTTTTCTTTGATAGCCGAGGACAAGCACAGCTAGGATATGTTCACCCCTGAAACTCAATACATATAATAAAATAGAACCATTAGTTCCTTTGAATGACCTGTTCATGAGCATTGAACCATGCATTGTTAACTAATATGTGCAGCCCAGAGAAGTGATAATATAATGACTGAATCTTTTCTTCCACTTCGTATTATGTTTCCACTATTACCTCTCTCTTTTTTATAAATCACATTGTGACATGCCACCCGGATTCAATAATTTTACCTCCTGGGTCACATTCCTAACAGTAACGGTTGTCTAGAGCCCCGTTACTGGATTGATGTCTTAAAGGGATCCTTGGCGATCAGAATATGAAATTTTGACTTCGTTGGGGTTATACTAGTAGAATGAGGGGATTGTTTATCAATATCAGCCTAATTTTCATGGTCTCTGGTTTAAGTTTCCAGCATAAAGAAGTAGAGTAAGTCTCAAATGGCAGAAAAGGGTCGGGTAAAGTTCCCTTAAAATTAGATTCCCGAGGAGCATCCACGGGTGGCATTTCTGTAGCGTTGCTATGAGGACTAGAGCTATAATTTGTTGAGAACTCTTATTTCACACTCAACCCCCCTCCTTACATCCCTGCAATGGCAACCGACCAAAAGGTTATTTCGTCTATTGATCATATTTCTTTTCGTGTAACAGTTTCTATTAACGGTTTTTGTTTGACAATATGACATCTTCTACCAATCGAGCCTCCTCAGCCACACTTGAGATCAGATCTCCTCGGTCGCCACGGTCTCCACGTGGCTCCAGCCGTTCAGTTGATGTTGACATTGTGGTTAAAGTTCCCTCTTCCCCACAGGCCGACTTGAAACGTCAGTACAAAAACTTGCTGACTGAAATAGAGGAGACCAAACCGAAGCTCCGGCAACTCGAAGTCTTGCAGTCTGAGGTTGGTACATATCTTGGTATAATGAGTGTAGTTAGTGATAGGTATTACTGCTGACGTAATACAGCAAGTTATGGCTGCTAGTGTTGGCAAATTGTAGGAGGGGTGAGTTGGCGATATTGTTGCGGAAATTAGGTATAAGGTACCTGGTTATTGGGTTATCTATCGATTGTATTTCGTATATAAACTGCTGATAAAGCTGCTCTTAAACTACTGTACAGTGTACAGTCCACAATTTTATCTTTCCTCCGGTTTGTTGAATTTTACTGTTAATCATGAAAGATCTGGAAGTTGATTCTTATTGCAATTGCCATGCGGTGGGGTTGAAAATCATTTCAGAAGCAGCTGAAGTAGGTGTAAAATTGTATATTACCGAATTTGTCCCTTTTATATTTTGTTCTATTCGGTGCTTAATAGAAAATAATACCCACATTTCAGTTTCTTTTCATATTCTATAATATTTTATTCATGCAAACTATGTAAATTTCAGTTGACGTCTATGCAAAAAGCGTACCATGATCTGAAGGAGCAAGCACTTCGCATGAGTATAGAACAAGATGCCCAGAAATCTCAAATTGATGAGGAGATCAAGAAGCTCAAGAACTCAAATCAAGATCTCATCAAAAAGAACAAGGTAACTCTTTACTGTAGTATCTAAAAGGAGAACTAAATATTTGGTGACTTAACTAACAATAATAATTTATTTTTCTACTGAATAGTCAAGTTGATGAAACTCATCTCATTCCAGGACAGTAAAGCTGAAGCTGTGGTGTCTACCATTATGGAGCTAGAGAAGTTGTACAGCAACAGAATCATGGCACTGGAGAAGGCTCTGGAACAGAAGGATGATATGGTCAAGGACCTGGAGGAACAGAATAGGAACATGGTACGATTACAGACAAATTGTTGGCTGGCTGATATTATATGTTCGCCGGGAACCTTATCTTTTTTATTATATTATCTTTCATTTGAGCTACTTCTATTTCCAACATAAATCGGAAGAAACAATAAAACATCTCCGCTATTCCAACAAAAAGTTCAATCGTTAAGTCAGAGGGAAACTAAAATTGTGTGTGTTTCCAGATGACTCAGTTGAACGTCACCAGACGACAGTCAGTGCAGCTGGAAACAGCCAACACTCTCCTTCACAAGAGGAACGAGGTGCTGGTGGTCGAGAAACAGGACGGGGAGATCAATCCTGCTGACTATTTCGACTCTGATAATGAGCGACTTGCTCTTCTAGCCAAACAAGTACTGTTTTTAATTCTTTGTCCGGTAAATTGGAGGTGGTTGCACTGTGTGCCTTCGTGTTGACTGTTACTGTTAACTGTTCGTTAACCCAGGCTCCCGTGTCTTCTTGGAACTTGGATGGCTGTTCGTGATATCATCAAATGTTTAACATTAAATGATAATCATGATCACAGTCAGCTGTAGAAGGACAGGTTAAGTTACATTTCTTGCTAACTAACTCTTTGGTCAGTGTGACGCACTACAACAAACCGTGTCATCTTTGGAGGGGACCCTTTTGTTGAGAGTAAAGGAGCTGAACGAGACGTACGAGGATCTGGATACCATGAGATCAGATCTTAGAATAGCTGAGGTGAGGGTTTGACATCTGTTTTGTGTGTTTAATATTGTTGTTGTTTTGCCTAGCTGTTGGAGGTATTTTGACTGTTTGATAATTAAATATCACCCAGCTGGTAGCGATATGATTTCTTAGAAACTCAGGTTATATAACCATTTGAAACTCATAATAATATTCGGCTGTATTATTTTCGAGGGAAATATTTTACAGTTCATTTGTCTAGGTGGCGAGAATCGAAGCAGAGGCACAGTTGGATGTCAACAAACGTGAGGTTTCAAGACTCCACAACGTCAACGAAGAGTTTGCCGAGGAAATAAAACAGAAGATTGCTGAGAATGGTAAACTGGAACAAGAAAACCGGCACCTGATCGAGAACATCGAGTCTCTACAATTGGAGTACGATGATTGCAAGGCTAGGGTTGGAAGACTGGAGAACGCATTACTCGCCCAAGAAAAGGCACTTGAAGCTATCAAAAACTCGGAGAAATCAGCTAAAACGGAGCTGACAAGCCTTGAGAAGGATCTAGAAGTAGCTAACCAGAACCAAAGGAAAAAAGAGGACGAAGTGAGAAAGTTAAAGAAAGAGGTCGACAAAGCAAAGAAAGGAAGCAGCATGTACAACCTTTGTAACGTTCTCAAACCCGGTGAGACCCTGGAGCTGGTGTCTGTGGACCTCCCTGCGGTGACTCAGCAGATACCCAGAGGTATTTATTTTAAACAAGGACAACACGGTGTGTACGTAGACAAGGTAGACGTTAACAGCTCTGCTGGGAAGACTCACCGACTAGCTGGTGGAGACAGAGTTGTGGAGATCAATCTGAACGACGTCTCCAATGGGTCCTTTGAAGCAGTGAGTAAAGACATGGATTCTCCACGAGCTATGCAGCTTGTTGTTGCAAGAGTAGCTCCTGATGTTAGAGTGGAGAGTAAGTTGAGAGCAGAGGCTCTAAAGGATCAGATCAAGGGTCTAGTGATGGATCTGGATAAAACTGCTAAACACTGCCAGGAGTTACAGGGTGATGCTGCTGATCTCAAGGACGAACTGGCTAATGTAAAAGCAAAACAGAAGAGCGAGATAAGCTCACTCAGCAACCAGAAGACGGCTGAAGAAATGCAGAACCTCAAAGCGTTGCTAGCCCAAAAGGAGCAGTACTTGAAGACCCTAGAGACAACAGTAAGATCGAAGAACGAGCTGCTTGTAACAATGGAGATGGACCACCATCGTACACCCAGATCAACACCTAACTCCTCGCTTCACCAGAGCACTAGCTTCAGTCCTGGACTCAGCAGCACCACTAGAGAACCCAGAACCTCTACATCCGGCAAACCTAACGGCAATGTTTCCAACCCAAAAGACGAGTCTACTGTTTCAGAACTTGTTAACAGATATGGTAACTGAGAACTTTGACAATTGTAAGCTTACCATTGGGACTGAGCTGTCATTAATATTTTTTAGATATTTGAATTCTAATCAAGGATACTTGATATCGTTTTGCAGGTCATGCGAATGATTTGAACCTTGAAGGTATAAAACATTTCGCTGAATTTTAACTCATTAAATTGTTATCTATGTAGAATTAGAAGTTTTAAGCAAACTGTTACAATTCCCTTACAAGACAAATAAAATGACGTCCAGACTACAGAGTGTAAATATAATATGAAATATATTACTAATTGTATGATAACAGTGTATGATATTCACTTAATTTCAGATTTCTGAGTTTCATTTTATGTATCTCTATTCTTTAAAGCCATCTCAGTACTTAAGTAAGATTCATCTAACGGTTGGTCAAGTCTAATAGAATAATTAATAGCAGCCTAGTCCCCAAAAAGCCTGATTTGTAAGGAGTAGTACAAGGATAACAAAGATATAGGTCGGTGTTTTTTGGGGCGCAGAGCTTTTCTTGATGGTATCTTCAAGAGGTGATGTTGGGTTTTCTCCTCTACAATTGATCTGTAAAGCAGTTCGCGTTAAGGAGTTAGGAAAAACTGCACAAAAACTCAATATCTTGATGCTCTGGCTCACAATATGTTCTTTCCACTATGTTAATTCTTAAAACTCACCTCTTTGACTTGGCACCTCTGTTTACTGCTGAACAGGCCTCTGAGACACACTTCAACTCTCATCACATCACACTCTCCTAACGTGACGTTCACATGGTGTGACCACATGTTCTCATCCTCTGGAATGTAAACATAAGATGTGCTGCCTCCCCATTTCTTGCTCCTGTAGTCGTGTGTCGTGATGGTCGCTATCACCACACCAGTCGAGCCTTTCATTGTGATATCCAGTGATGACGTCATGTTATCTGGTGACGTCACGTTATCTGATGACGTCATGTTTCCGTCAAGTGATGTGTTGCTGTAATTCTTTGGAAGTATGAGGGTGAAATTGAAAAGCATGTCAGAGGAGAATAAGTTCTTGTAAACATTAGACTTGTACTCCTTGTTGAATGATACCTTTGTAGTGACTCCTCCTGGCTTTTTCATCTCTGCCACCACCTAAAAAGATGGTCTTAGTCCCAAATTTTGAACATATTATGATCATGTTGATCCAAACTTAAATATAAACACGTCTAAATTGGTACTGTTAACCTTTCCACAATTGTTAAGGCGCTTTAATCGTGATAATTCTGAACCACCCATAAAAAGAAAGTTTATACTTCCGAAGATTTGATCATTTTGATCTGATAAATTATATTTTCCATAACCCAGCTGATGAGTATAAAAGTGTGGTAACCTGTCGTGCAGTGTCGTTTCTATACACACTGTCAGTCCAATGTGAGTTAGCATGTGACACATGCTCTGCCCGATCAAACACAGCACTGTACCACTTCTCACTTTGGTACACAAACTCTGAAAATAGGGTTACCAGGGTTACACCCGCCGGTATCTGACAGGATTATCAGGGTTACCGGGGTTATCAGAGCAGCAGGAAGACTCTGTAGGCCGGCACAGTGGACCTGGCTGTCTGCTCTGCACTTCACAGTGATCCCTGTCACAAAACTAGAGTCACTGTCATGCACCCTAGCTGATTATATAATACGTCTTTGGGCAAGGTGATTACGTGGCCTGTAATTGTATATGGGGGGGGGGGAGGGGGAGCCGGTGGGTTTTTGACTAGGTATGTCATAACCACAACTTAGTTTTTAACTCTGTTCAAAAAATATGTTCAATAGAGTTGAAAAATTACCTATTACCTATTGGCTGGATAGTGGACAGCTCTTTTCTATTTCTTGGACAATTTTATCGCAATCACTACGACATAAGTGATAAGTCGATACTTTACAAATGTTCAAACAACTTTACCAGATAAAAAATCAAATTTAAATTTCATATTGATTCCCAAATCTCTCAACATTTTGAAGATGACCTCAAAATTTACCCATTGGCCATGGCTACATTAGTAAAACTATGATCAGTTTTAGCATTACTTTCTACCGACCAAACGATCAAAAATTTCGTTCATTGCAACCCCCCTTTAACTAGACAGCATTATCTACCTCTCGTCCCTCTTTTAGAGCAATTATACCAATCTATCCACTCCATACTCTACTATCTACTTTTCCCACTATCATCTCACTATTCTGTCAACACAGATGTAGCTGTAGTTGGGCGGGAGAGAGTAGGAACTGGGAGAGCCCTTGTTTCCCACCACGTGTTCTGCTTCCTACCCACTTCCCACAATGACAGCACATTGTACAATGATAACGACCTTTAATAACTCGATCTAGAATCCAGCTCCGCCCTTATAACCTGTAGTTATGAGTTGACGCTGACAGTTCTCCACGGTGAAGCTAACTGCCGAGCTAATCGAATCTCCCCTGGTCTCCACTCCCCCATTCTCCGTTAACTTGGACCAGCCCAGCTTGTGAACGTTCCACTCTGTGTCACTGAGGTTATGTCATGTGAGGAGAGAGAAAAGAGCTTAGTCTGATCCGTCGTGAATGTTGTGTCACGGGGTGAGTCACGTGTCACGACAGCTAGTAGTAATTTAGTTTAGTGCTATTTAATGCCTCTATAAGGTCATGGTATGCCAGGAGGAGATCCTCAACAGATGACTAAATAAGTTGATGTTCTGAATTGCAGTGAGTCTGGTGAGACAGGTAGTTGCGGTGAGCCATGATTTAGGGTGTGAACAAACATAAACCCATATTCTAGAATTGTTCTAAAAATTTTGTAAGGCTTTAAATTGCAGTTGAGTAGATTTAATGCAGCAAGTTGGGCCTGTAATTGAAATCTAATGTCCTATCTGAAGATTGGGTTGGGATGGGTCCAGGAGCCTGGTTTGTAATTGACCTTATTAGACTAATTACCTGTTAAGTGGTGCATTGTATTTGAGTTGAGAGGTATCCTCTGCACCGAAGTACCAGCCAGGTTTAATGCCGCCCACTGTTGGTAGAATTGACCAGAACTGAGAAATTTAAAATAAATTATAATAATGTATAATTAGAATTAACATATGTTAGAATTGTACTAGAAAGGGTTGTAAATCTGAGTGACGGTTCTAAGAATTCTGCAAATTAGCAGGTTTATTGGGCAATTCAAGATCGGTAGAAATGTATTGTAATAAGTTTACTTTTAGAAAAAACGAATAGAATAAAACGATCAGACTTCAACATTAACAGCAATGATCTGGACATGGCAAGATTACTTGTTTTACATTTTACATAAAGACCACTGTTCAGTTGATTAAAGATTCTACAATGAAAATACTCAGTGCCTCACTAAAAACATCATATCTCCAGTAATGACAACATTTTACAACCTCAATAGAAAAGAGAGAAGCTGGATTATTGTCAGTTATAGCCCTAAGAGTCTTCTCCAGAACCACAGTATCCAGGACAACCCCCGTCTTCAAATCCAGGTAGCTCACCCTAAACCTGTACAATATTTCAGTATTTGTTGTTGTGAGTAATTCTAACTATTTCCAGCACATCTACGTAACTATAAACGCTATTCTAAGAATGTAGTAATTGCTCCGGATCTAATTTACAGTCTGTTGACAGGGTGATCCTTTGCCGACTGAACTAACGACAAGTCACCATGACGATATACCCGTGACAAGACTCTCACGGTAACCATGTTAAAGGAGTACTGTTGCCATGGTAACCAGTACCTGGCTTGTTGTATCTCCCCGTCTATCTTTACCGCCCGGAAACTGTTCCGTGAACCTGGCCGGATGACGTCTACTGAGCAGGAAACTGTCCCTTTTCCCCCTTCAAATGGTAAGTACACTTAATTCTTGGTTTGAAATTTGAAGTTAAAGAGAACGCAATGAAATCGGTACAAATGAAATGAAATGATAAAGATATCAACTATTGGAAGGGTATAGAGTATAGATGTAATAAAAGTATTACCATTAGAGTCCGGACACTGATCCTTGCCCAACACTACTTCTTTTTTAACATCAAAACAGGTTCTAATGAGCCTGAAATACGGCGTAAAATCAAATCTCATTTCATCTGATATCCTATATGCCGATATTTCATCTGATATCCTGAATCTTAACCACGCTGGCATTTACATCGACCTCCTATTTATACCACACATCTAGTTAAATTATAGTCCTGTTATTCATATCATTTCTGAGTAGATATTAGTATCTGTTGACTAACCCCTGGGGGCAAAGTGGTTTGTAGTTGTTGGATCCACACCCACACTCGCAGTCTCCCTCACTCAGCCACGTTTCACTAAATTTGTAGCTCGACTTGTACTCGTATATTTGGTCCACATCCTCCAACTGAGTTTTTAATAAGCCTAAGATGACTAGAATTGCGACGGAAACTAACTTTCAACGAGATATTATTTTTCTTATTAAAATGATGAGTTATACTATTACTCTGATCTTAACTTAATAATTTGAATAGCCTTTAACTGTTAGAAGTGTATTTGAATATTATATGGATCGAACTTATTCCGAACTCTTTACCTTGATGGTGATTAATAGTGGACCAGGAAGGATTTCATTTGGTCGTATTTCTACGCTTGAATTGTGAACTTCCAGGCAGAGAACTTGGTTAAGCCTAATGTTCGTGAAGAGGTGAAATCCACTGTACTGAGACGAGCTGGATATCTTAGGGGACGCGTTGTTAGGTACGCGGTGTTAGGTAAGTTGTTAGGGGAGGTACGCGTTGTTAGGGGAGGTACGCGTTGTTAGGGGAGGTACGCGTTGTTAGATTAAGAATATTAATGGACCATTTTTAGAGAATCCTTAAATTTCTAATGGAATACCAGAGGAAATTATACCTGTGAGCAGTAGAGATTTTTAAAGGGGTTGGCAAATGTTGATGTGATGTGAAAAATCAATAACAGGGCAAATTGCTTCATCGTGATGATTAAATTTTTACAAGCTCACGAACTGATTGAACAACGTGTGGAATGCCAATCATCTATCTGAGATTTTGTGAGGTATTTTCTGCGTGGAAATGATCGTAATCAGATTATCGGCAAATTTAGGTATAGATAATTAAGATTTATTCGCCGTTTTCAATTAATTATAATTTGTCTCGAGGAAGTTATTGAAGTGTTAATGTAAGCATCGATCTCACATAAAATAGATATCATGTGGGCCGGTGATTATCCCAGGATTTAAAAAAGTTCCCACCATAGCAAATTGAAATAACACTAAACATAGCGTTATTATTCAAATCGTAATTTTGACCAAGCCCTTTAGTTCCAATAATTGTTTACAAAGTTATATAATGTTTAGCAGTAAATTAACAAAATAAGGACGTCAACTCCTGAGAAAACACTGGTCCCGGGGGCAGGTGTACATTTCACTGTCCTTACAATATGCGACTTTTTAATTAGAGGACCAATGTTTGGAATTTTACCAGACTTACTGGAGCGTAAAAGACACTCCCTTTAGCCTAGATTTCCATTTCTCACTTGAAAGTCGCCATAGTTTACATTTGGCTAAGTTCCACAGATTTGCCTTGCGATTAATTATTTTTTCTCACGGAACACATAATGTCGGAATCTTTTTGGCCCTCCTGTGACAAGCCTCAACATTTATTAAACCAATTAATTGACAGTGACGTTGAAGTTAGTATTTCAGCCCTGCTTACTAATCATCTACTCAACCCCAAAAACTTATCTAAATCTGATCACGAGACACCGGAGCCATGTGCGGCAGTGTTGCTGCTGAGAAAAATTATCAGGACCAGGCCCGGTTGTCTGCCTTGAGAACTGTGGTCACGTGCTGCGCGTCACATGGTGTTGTGATCACGTGACCTTTGCCGTTAATCAGTTTATAAACATTAGCCGTTAGGGCGTCACACTCTACTCGCTCGTATTCATTCTACTACCTGCTTGCTTTGATTCCTTTTGTCGATATGAGTGTTGTGTCAAGCTATTTCTCGCTTCCAAAGTTCGAGATGCCCGATCCGGGTATCCTAAGTTGTGATTCTCGTGGTCCTATTATGGGTGGCATCAGTTACCAAGCTGAAGTTTCCTCCAGCTGTTCCTTTCCTGTTCCTTTTACTCCCAAAATCGAACCTGCTCCTTCTCCAGAAATACTACAATATCAAACCTCCCCCAATAGTTCACAGTTAGGGTCGGGTACTCTGTACAGCACTACTCCACCCTACCCTCCCTCCCAGACCTACTCTCCAGATCCTACCCCGTCCTACCTCAACTCCCAGTCTCCCTACCACCCTGCCGACCTGTCTCCAGAACAATCCTACACACAATCCCCTCCTCGCACAGTCTCTCCTCTCAACTATCCTACTCTATCCTACCCTCCCGCAGACCACCCCTCTCCCTACCTCACTCACCCATCCTACACCTTCTCCAGAGCGGAGACTACACGGATGTACCCCACTGACCAGTGCAAGGCGCCAACTGATGTGGCTCCCTGGAAATCAGAAGTACAGTACCCAGTGGGAGGGTTGGTGGGTAGGATTGGTGGGCTGATGGAGGCGGGAGATATGGATAAGCTGGTGGAGTTGGTGTGGTCACTTCCTCCTCCTTCTCCCCTGGATGATGAGACTATATTTAGAGCTCATGTTTACGTGGCTTACTATACCAGGCAGTACCTTCAGGTAGATAATATGTGGTCGTAATATCGCTCAGTGATTTTATATCTTCCCACGTTCAGATTCATGGAAAGAAATGTTTATCTACTCAGTAGGTGTTAAACGTAAAGATAAGGTTAACTCGGATGAAGTAAAAATTTTCCAATCACATTCCGCATATTGATATTTGAACATAAGACCGTTTTGTTCCCTTATTTTTTATTATTAAACTTTACACAAATCTGAAGTAGTTGTCTTTAACCCACCCTTTAATTTCAGTTTTTCTGTTTAATGCAGTCGCGGATGTTCAGTCACTGTCACCATGGTGATTTGCAAGCTATGTGGCTCCAGGCTCACTACAATGACGCTGAACGGATGAGGGGCCGACCACTTACTGCTGTGGACAGGTAACCTGATTTTTTGGTCTTTAGGACCTTGAGTAGATATTGAATTGAAGGAGGTCTTTATTTTATATAGAGTTGATGTACTAATTGATTGCCAATTTCACCTTTTGGCCTGATATTTGACGAAAATTAAGGCCATTAAGAAAATGGTGTTTCGGGAATTTGGGTTAGTGGAATCCAAGCCTATGAAATTTGACGCTTTCTTGATCATATAGGGTACAATCTGTTAAGTTGTCAATCAAGAACAGAAAATTGATTGGCTAGTAAAATTAACATGTAAAAGATAGCTACTAGCAAACCAATTTGGCCGTATCGTCGTTTCTGATGAATCCATTTCCAACTTGGCGCCTTGGTTAATGGATTGAATGAATGACGAATGTTCTCCCCTGTATCAGTGAAATGTTAGAACCTTATATTGCTCTTTTACCTGACTCTCATTTCAGGTACAGACTACGAAAGAAATTTCCGTTTCCTCCAACGATTTGGGACGGAGACAACACATCTTATTGCTTTAAAGACAGGTCCAGATCCTATCTAGTTGATTTCTACATGACCAACAAGTACCCTACCCCAGCAGGTTAGTTATTTTATTTGATTCATATTTATATGATTCATCCCCATTTTACGTGTAGGACTAAGATGTGGTTGAAATATTTTGATTTGAGCTTGCGACTCAACACCGTCACGACAAGTTTACTGATCTTAAGTTTACTAATCTCTATCTACTGCTTATTTACGATGTGGGCTTTAATTTGCGTTCGTTTACCAAATTGTTTATGGTTACTTAAGTTGACATGTGCAATATGCGACAAAAATGTTCACTATGCTATGATTCCTTTCTGTATTCTCGCCGATCATTTCAAAAAAGTTAAGGATAGAAAATTAGCCTCGCCAAAAATGGTGAAAATGATGAGAATTGTTTCGACATCGATGATAAATATTTTTAATTAGCGGTCAAGACGTAAACATATTTAGACGTTACCTCAGTTACAATGTAACACTGGATTTTAACCAAATAAAAGTTGTTTATGTTCATGGATACTCATACTACTATTATATATTAGATAGCCTTTTATTAATTAAAACAGTTACTAGTGCCTGGAATTTCCCTGTCAATTTTTGCATGGCATCAATTTTATTTGTTATTGTTATCGTCGCCGATGGCATGAATATTTGGTAACTGTATGTAATCAATTTTAGCCATATGAATAACTTTCATCTTTCTGCAGAGAAGAAAGAGATATCGAGTAGATCCGGTCTGAGTGTGACTCAAGTGAGCAACTGGTTTAAGAACCGGAGACAAAGGGACAGGATGACGCAGAAGCAGGTGGTACTGGCTGGAAAACCGGATAACGGGTACACCTTGTCACATGACATCATACACACCAGATAGACTTTCAGGATGGTCATGACTCTTAAGACTCCTAACTACCCCTTACCTTTCATCATCAGTTAAATTGGAATTTTGATGGAAGTAAGACTGCTATCAAATCAGATTTTTTAACTAATTGAACTGCTGATTAAATCGTATTCAGAAATTTATGAAGGGGCGTAAATAAAGAAAATTATATTAACCTAATCAGTCGATCTGATTTTTACCTTATTATGTCGGCCTTAAATTTGACTGAATAAGGTCCGTGAGAATAAATAAGAGCTGATAATTTTATTAAGTTGAAGTTTATTTTCGTATAATATTGATGTAAACTCCGCGTTTTAACGAACCAATAACTGAACAACTACTGGCCTAAAAAATTTATATTTGGTTTGATCTTTTTCCAAAATAAAATTGTTCAATGCGACGATTTCAATTAGTTCAACTTAGAGTTAGAGTTTCTTCTCAGATATTATCGTCCTTTTAGTTATCATTTCGAATCTAGACTACATTTAGATATTTTTAAGTGGTCGATAAGACTCTTGTTAGGGGTTATATAAAAACGTAGATTTGAGAAAGACTAAGAAGAAAAATTTGATATTATTTATAGTTATATGCCTTTGAATTGGAATTATTTATTTATTATTGTCGACTGTCGTATTTAAGTGCTTAACTTTATTTGTAAATTGATATAAAAACAGCATTCTGACTTATCCTTGCAGAAATTTTAACTTAGTCATGCGCTAGAGAACTGGCTTTGATTCACCAGTCACCTGGTGCGCCCTTAGAATTTTGACTTTGAGCGCGTTCCTCTGTCTCATGTCTGCTCCCTCCTTGTCTGGGGATCTCAGACTACAAGTTTTATTTATAAACTTTTTATAAACGTAGAAGATATGCAATATGGCGGGAAAAAACTGGCTCACTCCAGAAGCTGTCTATAACTTTAAGTTTAACACTCATTCTTAAAGTTAAACGTATCCATACCATGGGGGAAACACTAAAATGGGCCCATCCCAGTCTAATTATACTTATAGGTTAGGTTATATTAGGGTTAGGGTTAGGGTTAGGCAATCAAAGTAGCGAGTGTTATTTGAAGTCAAGATGGGATAGACAATAGATCGACATGGGCTCGCTATATAATTATATTATATGGACTAGCAGTAGCCCGGCGCGCACTACTTTGTAGCACTTGCCTCGGGCCATAACATTTGCCTCGGACTAACACAACATTTTGAGAAGAAAGCGGCGCGAGCCACTTTTGACTTTGAAGAAATTTAGACAAGTAACATCCTTCAAATATTACAGCAATTCGCTTAACGCAACGATTGATACTCGTCAATGAGTCCAACTCGTCGATGAGCCCATTTCAGCGGCCAGCGCGCGTCTTGCCCTTGGTAGATTATAAACAATAAACCTACATACAACAATTTGCCGGGATAAGGGATTAACTATTTTACGTTGTGACTTACATATTGTCTGCTTATGGCTTACCTATTGATTACTGGGCGGCGCTCAGCCTGTCATTCCACCAAATCTTTTCTATCACGTCGTGACCCCCGTTGTCGGTTCACTATAGAGTTTCTACGATACAGGGGAGCCGCGCACTTACCTGAGGACCCCAGGCTATTATGTTCATTAACATAAAGATTTGGCGGAATGACAGGCTGAGCGCGGCCCAGTAACCGCGCACACGTGCGTGTCGGGTTATACTTGTCATACGTTGTATGACCCTCCGCGCACGAGTGCGCGGCTTCCCCTGTATCGTCAGGACGATAAAGTGAAACGACCGTGGGGGTCGCAACGTGATACAAGGTCATACAACGTATGACAACGAATCTCTATGGACATTATCATTATACTTATAGCCTAGGGTCATCAGCAATCAAGTAAACTTGTTCGTTGACTCGTCTAAATTTCTAAAAACGTAGAACCAGTTTAACATGGCAAACCTCACTTTGTTTTAGTTTTACAAGTACAACTCATAAACTCATTTGCAGTTTAGTTCAGGGACCTAAATTGTGGACAACTTACGTAGGCCAATGTGGTATCATGGTTGCGATATTCATTCGTGGAGGTTTGTTGATCACAAATACAAATTTAAAATGGTGGCACGACAATTAAATTATTAATATTAATAATAAATAATCAATTTATGTGCGTATTCCAACGTTTTACAAAGCAATGCATATGTATTGTGCTGTGGCATTTAAAATGTTGTTTTTTATACAACCCAGCTTACTAATTTATTGCTTGCGTATAATAACTTTTAAAACTATAACATATAAGTGAAAAGCTCGAAAATGGAAAAGAGCGGCGCGCGCCGCATTGGAATTGGCGTCTTAAATAAAAAATTTTAACGTGTGTGGTGTGGAGAATAACTAAATAACAGTTTAATAATAACTATTAATATTAATACTAATCATTTATGATTTATGATTAAGCTTTTTATGTTTTTGCTATACCGCTGCATTTTGAAAATTTCGAATTGATATTAATAAATATAATCGATAAACCGTGATCGCGAAAATTTTCATAATAATGGATGTTCGCGCCGCGCATAATTGATTTGAATTGCGCGTCTATAAAACGTGTAAAAACTGCCGCGACTTTGATAAATTTGATGAAGGAGTGACTCTCAGCTCGCACGCGAAACAAGTTGGCGATCACTTTTATTAAATCATATCTATTTCGTTGCTCGTATCTCTTTGACGAAAACCCTTTTCAATTATGGTAAGAATTCAAGATTTCTTGAAATTTTCTAAATCGTCTCTTTTCTTTCAAAACATTATTTGATCAATCGAAAAACTAAAAGAACTTTTAATAACATTTCATTTTTAAAATATGCATGCAATTGTGTGTGATATTGTCGACCTCTCCGTTAAAACAATAATTTTCAGAGAGAGTGTATCTCTATTCACGTCGGACAAGCCGGAGTCCAAATCGGTAATGCATGCTGGGAACTGTACTGCCTGGAGCACGGTATCCAGCCTGACGGTCAGATGCCCTCTGACAAGACCATTGGAGGTGGAGATGACTCCTTCAATACTTTCTTCAGTGAAACTGGAGCTGGAAAACACGTTCCTAGAGCAGTGTTCGTCGATCTTGAGCCAACTGTAGTTGGTAAGTAATTTGTTTTTAATTACAACTTATTTCGATCTTCAATTAAACAAATGTTATATTGAAAAGTGAAACTTTAGTATAGAGTTACTAAAACCTTGATTTACAAAGTTTTGATTTCAAGAGAGCATCAGAATTCAAATAAGGAAGTATCTTATCATATTAAATTTAATACAGCACGGTGTTTTAATCATTTACATTTTTGCGTAAAATTTAAGTAACCAAAGGCAAAAATTTACAAAAATGCCGTATAACTTTGTTTCGGACGGTCAAATAAATTAAATCTTTATACATTTAAAACTATTATTTGGGCTTATTATTCGCCTTTAAAATTTTGTATCGATTTAAAACTGCTCGGTAGTTGTAAATAAATCGAAAAAATCAACTAATCTAAAAAACGTGCTATTGAATCGTAATCTTTTCGCCAATTCAACTTTTAAAATCTTTTTGAAATCAATAGTGTTGATTGGAAAAGCGTAAATTGGAAAGTAAACATATCAGTAACCGAACGGGATTTGGCCGAGATGACTCAATTTTGGCTTGGATTAGCCGTTTTAGGAATTTGGGATATTTGGTTGAGTTTTTCAAGGATTTGTTATAATTGTTAAAATTCAAGCAAGCAAGTAATACAATAATATTTAATCACTGCTATAGCTATGTGCAGACTATAGTTGTATAGACTACAAAAATTGACTCTATATTTCTAGCTATAATTTTTGACCACGGTACTTGAGGAGATAGCTGATATGAAGAGTGTACCAAGTCACTTTTTGACGCAAGTGCAAACTGGCCTTTTTCAATTGGATTTGCGAGCGATTTCATAGCCATTTCATGGCGTCGTCTCTCAGTCTACGTTTGGTTGCGCGTTTGTTATTTTGTTTGCTCACTTGTCCTCACTTTTTCAGACGAAGTGAGGACTGGTACCTACAGACAACTGTTCCATCCTGAGCAGCTGATCACTGGTAAAGAGGATGCCGCTAACAACTATGCCAGAGGTCACTACACCATTGGAAAAGAAATCATCGATCTTGTTCTCGATAGGATTAGGAAACTGGTACGTTAGCAATTTTCTACCTTCTACGGAATTCGCCTTAAAATCATAGTTTTTGTCAGTATTGATTGACACTGCTGCACTATCACTAATATAGGAAGCTCTGAAATCTGTTCATAACTGAACTCGTACACAAATTCAGGCTGATCAGTGCACTGGTCTTCAAGGCTTCCTGATTTTCCACTCTTTCGGCGGAGGCACTGGTTCTGGATTAACGTCTCTCCTCTGCGAAAGGCTATCTGTAGATTACGGAAAGAAATCTAAACTGGAATTCTCCATCTACCCCTCTCCCCAAATATCGACTGCTGTGGTTGAGCCGTATAACTCTATTCTGACCACTCATACCACACTGGAGCACTCTGATTGTGCCTTCATGGTAGACAATGAGGCTATCTACGACATCTGCCGAAGAAACCTTGACATCGAGAGGCCAACCTACACTAACTTGAACAGGTTTGTCATTTCAGTTTTGAATTTTGAGGCAAGACCTTTATTGAAATATTATTAATTAAAAAGAATACAACTACAAGTTATGCAACAGAGGCAGTGTAGCTAATTTATCATCGGAAACTGAAACTAAACGTTATTTTCAGGCTGATTGGACAGATCGTGTCGTCCATTACTGCTTCTCTTCGATTCGATGGTGCCCTGAATGTTGATCTAACTGAGTTCCAGACCAACTTGGTGCCCTACCCCAGGATTCACTTCCCTTTGGTAACTTATGCTCCAGTCATCTCTGCTGAGAAAGCCTACCACGAGCAGCTCTCTGTTGCTGAGATCACAAACGCTTGCTTCGAGCCAGCCAACCAGGTAATTTAATCGCCTTCTGTTGACTTAATGATGAACTAAAAATTAATTCTAATCCTTTTATGTCAAATAATCTGTATTTTTTATCCTTCTCTCCTTTAATCAATTATTTTCTTCAGATGGTGAAATGCGATCCAAGACACGGCAAATACATGGCTTGTTGCATGTTGTACAGAGGAGATGTCGTTCCCAAGGATGTGAACGCTGCTATCGCCACCATCAAGACAAAAAGAACCATCCAATTCGTCGACTGGTGTCCCACCGGATTCAAAGTTGGCATCAACTACCAACCCCCCACCGTTGTTCCTGGAGGTGACTTGGCTAAGGTCCAGAGAGCAGTTTGCATGTTGTCCAACACCACTGCAATTGCCGAGGCCTGGGCTCGTCTGGATCATAAGTTTGATCTGATGTACGCCAAGAGAGCCTTCGTCCACTGGTACGTAGGAGAAGGTATGGAAGAGGGTGAGTTCTCTGAGGCAAGAGAGGATCTGGCTGCTCTGGAGAAGGATTACGAAGAGGTTGGAGTTGACTCTGTTGAAGGTGGAGAGGAAGAAGATGGCGAGGAGTACTAAGGACTGGATCAATTGCTGTACTAAAATATTTTCGGAAATAAAACGTTTATAGAAAAATTGTGTTTTATTTTGTCAACATCACCCAGAAATTATGGTGATATTTAATACAACAAATTTGATAATACAAGAAAACCGCGTTATTTGAACTTAATTAATTATACCTGAACAAATTAACTTAAAATTTATTTTTTTAAAAACACTAATTACATTACATGTGTGAAGTTAAAACATCAACAAATTTATAAGAACTGTTAAAAAAACAACAAATATTACGACTGATATCAACAGTTTGACGCGTTCATAATAAATCAGAAAGTAAAATTCATGCTCCTTCATAAAATCAAGGCTACGTAAAAAATTTGCTTCCGCACACTTGTATTGAGCTATTCAAGCATGCTAATAAACGGTAAACCATTTCAGACGAAGTGAGGACTGGTACCTACAGACAACTGTTCCATCCTGAGCAGCTGATTACTGGTAAAGAGGATGCCGCTAACAACTATGCCAGAGGTCACTACACAATTGGAAAAGAAATCATCGATCTTGTTCTCGATAGGATTAGGAAACTGGTAAGTGATATGAATCCAGTTTTTGCTCTTGTAAGCTTGTAATTAGACTTAAAATTACAGTAAATGTCAGTTTTTCTTGTCACTGATACGCTACCAGCAATAAAGGAAGCACTGAAAATATTATAAAACTTACATCCTATCATGATTCAGGCTGATCAGTGCACTGGTCTTCAAGGCTTCCTGATTTTCCACTCCTTCGGTGGAGGCACTGGTTCTGGATTGACGTCTCTCCTCTGCGAAAGGCTATCTGTAGATTACGGAAAGAAATCTAAACTGGAATTCTCCATCTACCCCTCTCCCCAAATATCGACTGCTGTGGTTGAGCCGTATAACTCTATTCTGACCACTCATACCACCCTGGAGCACTCTGATTGTGCCTTCATGGTCGACAATGAGGCCATGTACGACATCTGCCGAAGAAACCTTGATATTGAGAGGCCAACCTACACCAACTTAAACAGGTTCGTAATTAAAAAAACTAATTTTGCTCAGATATTGAATGCATGCATGACTTAGAATCTTGACAAGGGTTTTGTGAATTATTATAGCAAGGAATACATTTATAACAGACTAGAGTGAGTATAGCCTGCATGGCAGTGCACCAAGGAACCTTTTCCTTTTAATGACGAGTGATATCTTGGTGGCTCAAAGAGTAAATATCATTTTTCAGGCTGATTGGACAGATCGTGTCCTCCATTACTGCTTCTCTTCGATTCGATGGTGCCCTGAATGTTGATCTAACTGAGTTCCAGACCAACTTGGTGCCCTACCCCAGGATTCACTTCCCTCTGGTAACTTATGCTCCAGTCATCTCTGCTGAGAAAGCCTACCATGAGCAGCTCTCTGTTGCTGAGATCACAAACGCTTGTTTCGAGCCAGCCAACCAAGTATGTAATTCAATTGTTTAGCAAACAAAATTTAATCACTAACTTAAGTAATCGGGCTTTTTCAATGTCGAAAAACGTTGTAGCGATAAAGCATTGCATTGTCTACATCATGTATATCATTTGATTTATATCTCATTCTTTTAAAAAACCATCTTCTTCAGATGGTGAAATGCGATCCAAGACACGGCAAATACATGGCTTGTTGCATGTTGTACAGAGGAGATGTCGTTCCCAAGGATGTGAACGCTGCTATCGCCACCATCAAGACTAAGAGAACCATCCAGTTCGTCGACTGGTGTCCCACCGGATTCAAGGTTGGCATCAACTACCAACCCCCAACCGTTGTTCCTGGAGGTGACTTGGCTAAGGTCCAGAGAGCAGTTTGCATGTTGTCCAACACCACAGCAATTGCTGAGGCCTGGGCTCGTCTGGATCATAAGTTTGATCTGATGTACGCCAAGAGAGCCTTCGTCCACTGGTACGTAGGAGAAGGTATGGAAGAGGGTGAGTTCTCTGAGGCTAGAGAGGATCTGGCTGCTCTGGAGAAGGATTACGAAGAGGTTGGAGTTGACTCTGTCGAGAGTGGAGAGGAAGAAGATGGCGAGGAGTACTAAGAAATAGATCAATTGCTGAATCAAACTAATTATCGGATAAAAAACGTTATTTGAAAAATAGTTTTTTATCTTGACAATCTTTACCACCTTATCGGTTATAATTCACATGGTTCGAACTGTGCACGTTATCGTTATGCACGCTTTTCTTTCGCCAGAAATATCTTTTTGACAAAAGAGTCACCAGTCATACCCATTTTAGCAAAGCGCCGACGGAATAGATTATAGATCATAACCAGTTTTATCGTTAATTGATGTTTAACTTGGTCTTTTATTTTAGTCAACCATATGATTAGGAAGATTAAAATTGACATGATCGTCACATAGATATTGCCACTGAACGGCCCAAGATTATTATTGCATTTACTGTCTAAAACGGCACAATATTAATATGCTTTATAATTATAACTGATCGCCATAACCCCTCTCAGTGTTGGGCTAGTTTGCGTAAGTGTTAACTGGCAGCTAATTGTTAATGTTAACTTGTTACTGTAACGCAAGATGTCAATCCCGCATCAAATATAGAACGAATCGCAGAATCAGATTCACAGGATTAAATGCAAATATGCAAGATTGGACTGTCGAGCTCGTTTCCCATTCATTTACAATTGTAAGATAGAAGGATTTAAATAGCTATTGTGCAATAAGAAAGTATGAATAAACTTCGCAACATAATACCACCCTTTTCCCCAACAGGTACCGCGCACCAAACAGATATTCACATGTCGACAGATGTCATAATCAAACTGGTATTAAACAATGTGAATATAAATAAAAGGTATCGTTCATTTCGTTATATATATGCAATTTTAAAATTGCAGCACGTAGCTATTGCTAATTGCCCCAGTTCTTAACAACCTTAATTAAACGATTGGAAAGTGATAATCATTGAATTTTTGTAGATTTTGAACTGTCGAAATTTTGCTCGTTTCTGTACTTTCAGTGCACATTTTCCACACTCAACCACCACTTAAGCGTTCATCTATGACTCACCCCACAACACTTACCCTCATCCTTTATTACACATCTTGATTCCACCGGCATCCTCCCACAGGACTGCCATACTCCAGAGGTAGGCAAAGCATCCATATTCCATATGCTATCCTCTCGTGGGCCAACCAGACCCAGCCTCTCTTTTTTTAAAAAGTGCACATTATTAATAATTGTGTGAATTGTAACTTTTAAGAAATTCAACATTGCATTCCCCGATGTTTGAGTTAAGGTTATAATTATATGGTCATGGATATCATAATATATTCCATATTCACCTGATATTAGTCTCCGGAAATGTGGTCGGGTCCATTAGATTTGGCCACTATACGGCCACTGAAAAGATATATTACATGGCCTTTATACTGCCTCTAAACGGCCACACAAAATCTAATCTATGGCCTTTATAAGTTTATACGACCTCGTTGGTGATGCGACAAAATTAACGCATCAAATCGAGTGTTGCGGCTGTTTTGCGGTAAAGTTTAAACTGCAAGCGGTTAATTGTTAATTGTTAACTTGCTTACTGTAACCAAGATGTAATTACTATTACTATTAGAACGAACGCAGAAATTAGATCGAACGCAGGAATTAAAATGCAAAATGATGCCAAGAATGGAATCGGTCGCTCGCTTTTCCCATTCTTTTACAATTGTAATAGATTAAGAAGGACTACCCGAAGGCAGCTTATACTCTGCAATAAAGATTTAATAATGAATAAACTTCAGCTAATTCATTAAATACCACCCTTATCCCGAAATACTAGGTCAACCCGAACGCAACTCAAACAGATTTTCACAGCATGTGATTGATGTAATTAATCGAAACTTATTACAATTCGTAAGCCGTGAATGAATGGGAAAAGCGAGCGAACGATTTCATTCTCGGTATTATTTTGCATTTGCAGACGGTCAATCAAATTAATATCATTTCCTTTTGTTTGGGAAAGAGAGCCAGTGGCAGCGCGGTCCACTCTACCCATGATCGATTATGGGTTTTGGTCAAATAAGCTAATACCTTATCTGCTAACATTTTTAAAACGCCAAAAAAAATGAATTTGGATTTTTGATGGTTTTGAATGTCTTCGAGCGTTAATTTTAATGTCCGTCCATAATTATGTCCGTTCAACTTCATTTAATTTCCGGTCAAATAAGGTCCGATAAGGTATGCTACACGCATATTATCTTAATCTACGCATAAGTTAAAGTAGGTACACACACACACTAAAATTAATGGAAATAATTACCGGACTTTATTATTCACGGACCTTTATAATGCCACAGACATTATTTTCACGGACATAATTATTCATGCTAAGGTCTTCAGCGTGAAAGTAATGTCCGTGATAGTTATGACCGATAAGGTACCTAGTAGTTTCCATATGACTATAAAATATAATTTAATAAGCTTTCACGGATCACCGAATGTAATGCAATGAAAGCGTAATACTAAAAGAAATTGGATGTCTTGACCTAATAAAAATATAATTCATTTTATTATATTTATAGTTATCGGACGATATTTGACCGGAAATTGCTTGAACAGAAATAATTTTGAACGGACATTAATTTTAAAATGAACGCTTGAGGCATTCATTTATTTTAACGTATTTAACGTAACTACCTTGTCGGACTTAATTTGAATGGACATTAAAACGAACGCTAGGGCCTTCAGCGTCCAATTAATGTCCGTTCAAATGAAGTCCGATAAGATAATTAATTGTATCAGTTTATGGCTTTAACGGTACCCCAGTCACAACACTTTATAGCAATCTACTAGTAGTAGTACTTACAGCCTTCGTGTACATTGTACGAGCTAAACAAGTGATCATACAATAACCAGATTTTGTAATTAAACCATTTCAAGAACCTTCTGAGGAGGATCAGGAAAGTAACACTGGAAGCAGCACAGAGACCAGTCCCGTTGGCGTTACCGAACAATATGCTTCAAAACAGGAGTCCTACTCCTAACTCGAGATTGTTAAGGCTACATTTTTGTAAATTTGCGAAACAAATTTGTTCCATGCACACTTTGGGAAACCTTCTGCGATCTTCACAATCAGAGATCAGAGATGTATAAAATATTAACAATGGCTATAAGTATAATAAACGTGAATACAAGTACAACCTGAGCATCGTTTTATTTATAAATTAAGAATTTGAAGTTATGAAATCGATTTTTTATTGTAAATAGAGTTGAGTCTTAATGCTCGTATCTCGTTCGTATCTAGAAAATAAAAACCTTTATATTTCTTTTTGATTTTAGCATCTCCAATAACTATTCGAAACCTGACCCTGGAATTTTAAACAATATTACCGAGAAGACAATTTACAATTACACATATATTTTGAAAGCTCCTGCTAAAACAAACTTTTCGTATCTCTTATATGTTTTAAAACAAATCTCCCTGCAGATATTACCGAGCTATTCTCCGTACTTTAAATCGCCACTGTAGCGGCCCATTTGATGTCATCAGTGGCTGTTTCAATGAAAATCATAGTTCGTATCTAGTGACGTCATAGGCAACGAAGTATCTCCGCTGAATGCCATCATGATATTGATAACGATAAGTTAAATTCTTCGCGGCCTTTTTTTTCTTCATACTATTGCTATTTCAGAGGACGATGAGAGCAAGATGGAAAACAAGTTGCTAAGCTACAGAAGTTCAATCTAACTGCTAACAGACAGACCTAGTACCTACTTCTTCTTCTATCTAGCTCGAAGAGGATCCGAATTTCTCAGGAACTCTAGTTTTACAAATATTTTAGAAGAATAGAACTATACTGTACTTATCACATAATCATATAAACTGACAATACGTATCTACTTCGGTTCAAGTGCAATGAAACCTTCTGCTTTCTATACTTTTAATTTTAGGTATAATCTTACGAAAATAACAGCAAACGGACTAGTAGTAGTAATCTTAACAAAGGTAGTTTGTATAAATACAGAAAAAAAAGTAATTAAACAGAAAAGAAAAAAATACATGAATTTCGATTAACTTTGTATCATAAAACTGGCAATGTTTTAATAATCAACTGTGAGCATTTATATATATTTTCCAGCGAGTTTAAAAATTTCCTCGATAGTTTAAATATGTTTTAGTTGACATACGTTGCATGCCACTTTTCGCGCGTCTCTGATATTTGGGATACGTAACATGTATCAATGTTTTAGTTATCAATATCATAATAGTTTAATGGAAAATGAAATCAAATTCAATTTTTTTTGCTGTGTTATTGTGTTAACCTTTAAACTGTTTCACTTTCAATTATGATGATGTTTCGAGCTCAGTGTTATGTTAAGGTATTCACTTTTTATTTTTACTTCTTAAATTTATTATAAATTTTTATTAAAAATGTTTAAAAAAAGGAAAAAAGACAAAAATTTAAAAAAAGTATTTCATGATTTTAAATTTACATTTAGCATTTCCGTAGCAAGAAATGGTATGTGCGGAAATGTTTCGATAGAGATGATAATGCAAATATTCTTATGCAATACCATTACCCTTGCTATTGTGCCTATGAGACAGTATATTCTTATGGTGCGTTGCCGTTTAGACAGTTATATGGTTTATATATCTATAATTTGTAATTAGTCAAAAGTTAAATTAATTAAGAAATAAATTGACTTAATACACCAAAGATTTGGTTTTCGACAACATCAATATTTATTTATAAAAAGCATGCAAAGCAACTTTTAAGCGTTTTATCGATAATAGAATTCTAATAATAATCATTGATTATATTCTTTTTTCCCTTCTTAATAACTGGTGTGATTACTTTTACTTATTCGCACTCGATCGATATCTGATATATCATACACAGTATGTTATAATACACTGCTCAATCTTCATTTAGTATAATTGAAATCAGTGTTCCGTTAAATTGGAATGACATATTCAAACTAAAATACAAGCATACAAATGTTATGCAGGATGATGCAGCATAGTTTTACACGGCTGATTATTTATCTCTTTAGTTTGTAAACGAAAACTGACAGCCTTTATAATAAATTTTTGTATTCAAATTTAAATTCATAAGTTATTAATAACGCTCGGTGGTAACGAGTATACATGTCTAAAATATTCGAAATCTTACTGAAGTCATACGAGAGTGTTCGCTAACAATAACTGCAAAAATCCACTAAGTTTTGTTTTTTATTATCGGGTTTATCTTGGTATCTACAAATAACATGTAGTCTTCATATTTCATAACCACTGATGACTTTCGATTTGAACTTAATAATAATTGTTCAGTGGCAATACTAAGGCTTACAATGAAGAGTAAGGGTTGAGGTCAATAGAGCTTAACCCTAACCCTCACCCTAGAATAAGAGAGCTGACTAGTGTCTACCATGATTAGTGGTAGTGCTTCTTGGATACTGTACGGATTTGGTCTCACTTATTTCAGTTATGGTTATACTCATAGTCCAAGTCGTGCTAGCTGAATCATGATAAACAAAACTAAACACTTGTAATTTGAGGTTAAACAAAATATTTAACGAAAGAGATGAACATAATATCAAAGATGGTATCAAAAATAAACAAATATCAACAAATTCTTTCAAGAATAAAATCAATACACAATTATCACTAGTTGGCAGGCGCCTTCTAGTTCCTGGAATCTTTTGAAATATAAACGAAACTTAAAACTCTTATTGTCGCTGATTAAGTTTTAGGAAATCCGTAATATCACTCGTTTCGAAGCAACAAACTCGACATTCGGAACAAAATTTTGAGTAAAACTGGCGAAAATAAGGATACAGCCAAAATGAAAAATCACTTAAATTAATATTGAAATCAAGCAGTACAGGTACATAAGTTTTTGGGACTATATGATTTATTAATTTTTATGACGACAATATACAGCCGATTAACTTGTTCGTATTTCAGGAAACAATCATAAAATAATGGAAATGATGCAGGATGCAGGATGCAATGTTGATTTACTCTTAGTTTCTATACATACTTATTAATCACCCAAAAATGCAAGGAAAACGTTTCAATATCATTATCATTCTCTACAACAAACGTTTTAAAGCATAATCAACTGCCAATTCAAACAATAAATTAACCAAATATGCCTACTAGCGTTCTGTTTACAACTTTTACTGTCGAAAACAATGTTAAAAACGATAAGAATTTAGCACCATAGGGCCTTCGATACCTAGCAGAGGAAAGCTCAACCCCCATCTACTCCCATATTATCATTAACAAAAAATTAATTCTATCGATAAAAATTAGATAATCCAACAGTGGGAGTATCACCTTGAAGGCCTCGGAATTCCACCAGAGCTGGGTTTTCTGAGGCCTGTCGAAGATGGGGTTTTCAACCCTGATTTAGGAGCTGGAAGTCCAGATTTTGGGAGTTTCGTCTCGGATTTGGGCGGTTTTAAAATCGATTTAGGAGTGTCCGTTTTGTCTTCGGTTCCTCTAGATAGCCTACTTTCGGATGTTTTAGACGAAGTTGACACAGTTCGTAGTTTGGAAACAGAACTAGCTGGAGACTGGGCAGAGGATCGAGATGGAGATCTGATTGAAGATGGAGTAGGAAGAGTGCTGCCTCTAGATTTGGCAGGAGCGCGTGGTGTTGGAGAGGAGGAGTTGGAGCCAGGTAAAGAGGACGTACCTGAGGTTCTTAGACTCGTGCTTCTCTTGGGGACGGAGGGTTCATCACTCCCTGATACTGCATTCTGGTAACTCGGGGAACGCAACACTTCAGGAGCTATTTTCTTAGTTCCTACTGATAAGCGCCTCTTTCCTGTGAGAGTTTTGCTTGTTTCGGTTGACAAAAGTCTACGTCTCATGGACCTCTCAGTAGGATTGTTCCTACTCAGAGAGGACCTGGTTGTAGCCGAATCACCCGAGTCTCTCCTCACTGAATCTCGATCTCCAGTAGAAGAAGCTACTGATTCTCTAGAAGATGATCTAGATCTGACTGTCTCCCGCGAGGCTGGAACCTTCAAACCTGCTGGTTTTTGAAGACCAGTACCCGAAATAGGTCGAGCAAGACTCCTAGATGGTCGGGGCAGAGTGTTGGTCTTCTTGGGGGCCGCAAGTCCTGATGATGAATCACGTGATGTGTTTTTTCTGAGGCCAATACTAGGACTACTGATGGAAGTGGCGCTCGGACTGGCCCGGGGTCCTGGTATTCCACCCTCACTGCTGTTTTGTCTTGATCTGGTCAGTTTGGTCTGTTTAGGAACGGTCTTCTTCTTTCGCGGTAAGGTGCCGTAAGGTGATGTTATTTTTGAGTTTCGTCCCTCTGTTGAGGTTGGTCTACTTTTAGGTAAGCCAGAAACGTTATCTGAAAATAGAAAAGTGTTAAAATAAACGATATAATAGGATGAATAAAGATATTGCAAAAACTTCAACTGTTTATGATTTTAAGCGGCATACAATATAAAATTAATCCGTTGTTAGTTAGTCTAAATTTTGACATAGATACAGTAGTTGGATATGATTGTACGATCACGAGACATAGTACAAACTAACAAACACAAAACACTCCGACTTACCACTAGATCGAGAAGCAGTACATTTCTTAAGTGTGCCATTGCGAGATGTTCTAGGACTGGGAGTAGCTAGTTTGGTTGGTGGCGCAAGGCCAGAAGGTCGAGCAAGTTTACTGACAGGTTTTCCAGCTTTAGGTTTTGTGGCAGCTGGGGGATTGTCAGATTGGGGACTTTCACAACTGTCTATGCTTGATGTTACAGGACTTGGCAAGTCTGCCGCAGAGTGGTCAGTGTATTTGTAACTTTCATCTTCTAAACTTCCTGAAAAGTATTGATAATCAAACCAAATGGAAAAATAACTCTGTTGACTGGAATTTACGAATTTAATAGTCAATTGGTTTTAATTAATTGATCAAAAATTCACCAATATCGTTGAAAATTGAAAAAAAAGGGAGAGAGCAAAACAAGGGAGAGAGAGAGAGAGAGAGAGAGAGAACAAACCTAGTTTCAAAAGCAGTTGATCAGGGAACATCCTGTGCTCGTGTTCCTCAGTTGCTTCTTGGAGGATCTTAGAGGTTCTCAAGAGAGACTCCTCCAGCCCACTGTCCCAGGTCTCTAATTTATCCAAACTGGAAAGTCTGGACACGTTAGAGTGAGATGGTTTGGGTGTATCCTCCAGCGTCTCGGATACTTTGTCTGAATCATCGGGTGTTGATGACGGTGGATCAGAAGAGGAAGTTCCTGAAGAAGAAGAAGAAGAAGATGAAGATGACGGGGAGGAAGAGGTAGGTCTTAAATTCCGATCTTTTGAGGGGACGTTTTCTGTGGCATCTAAAATTTCTTTCTCACTGATATGTTCCAAGGGTTCCTCAGGAGACACATCTTGAGAGACGATGTCGTAGCTCGAGTGTGAAGGGTGTGATTCTGGCTCTGAAACTGGAGTAGGAATCTCTGAAGGCATATCAGATTGCTGGGAATTTCCACTCAGTCTGTTCAGATTTTTAGGTTCATCTAGCTCTTCAAGTTGATCCAAAAGATCATCGAATGGGAAATCTACTGATTGATTGATTAACAGATCATTGCTACTGCTAACTTTTGAGGACGGATCCCTCTCTGAAGAGTCTGCGCTGTCCAATATTTCCCTTTCCATGCGCTCGAACTCTCTGTCTGAAATCAACTCCAAACTCTCCACTTCCGGAAGAAGATTCGAGGTATCAAATCCTATTGACCCAGAAGACTGATTAGAATTTTTAACACTGACAGGTTCGGGCTGTTGCTCCACCAACTCAACCTCTGCAGGTTTGTCAGCAGGCTCGGAACGAGGCTGTCTGGACTCCGGAAGAGGGGGAAGCTCTGCGTAGTCCTCGTCCTCTTCCTCAAAATTAGCTGCCATCTCACGGGTCGTGAGCTTTTCTCGATTGTCTATTTTAGAGTTGATCACGTGATCGCGAGGTTTCTCAGGTAGGTCAGGTGGTTGTGAGGCGTCGTGTTCGTCGTATTCTGGTTCAACTTGCTGCACTTTATCTACCCACTCTTCAACCTGAATTACATAATCTTAGTCAGGGGAGAAATTGAAATTCGGAATATCTAGGTAGGCAAAATACAGCACAATATGGACTGTCAAATAATCATAAGGACTATTGCAAATTTCAATAGATCCAAGAACTAAAAATTGTGCGCCAACATGCCTTACAATGAACTTACCATCTCGTTAGCTTGTCGCTGAGGGACTGATGGAGGCACGTGACCCATATTAACATAGTCCTCGTACTCGGAACTGTTTCTGTTGCTGTGATGCTTGCTAACATTCTCGTACATTCCAGACCCAACACTGTTTAGACTTTCTGCGCTCCCATACCCGGATGTGAAACTGAAAACAAGGATATGTTTATTGATTGACTTTTAATTGGTTTATGAGGTTAAATTCGCATTAGAAAAACTGAAATTAACAAAAGTAGATCAAGAATAGTGCTACTGATAAGAAGGGAACAGGCGAAATATTCTTAAAATAAAGGAGACTAATATATATAAGGGGTGAACTGAGTGACAGATGACGGTATAAAGTCTAAACGAAGGGTAACTAAGGTTTCTTGTGTGGTCCACATCTGAGAGACATATTTAGTCAGTATATAATTACTATGCAACATGTACCTGCATTTGCTTGGTTTGCTTGGAGGCCTGCGTATACTGATAGAAAGTTCGTATTGTGGCATATCGGCCAAAAAGATATTATCAACTATACAAGCCCAGCGAAACGTAAAGGAACGGCAACAAAAACAAGAGATTCCTAACAATATCAACACGTCTGCCACTACTACATCGCAAGCTTGCTGCCACGTTTCACTAAGTAAGATCTGCCCTATCGTGACTCAGAGAAGCAGCCCAAGTTAGCTCAGTAGAATTTGAGGCGGGCAAGGAGCGCGGCGTGTTGACAGAGAATCATACCTTCACAAAGTTTCCAGGTAACCTAGCAACAGGTTGCTATAGTACAAGCATGGTCCGGTGAAAAGCGTCATGGAACGTCATGAGCAGGTGACGATGACATGAAGAAAGGTTGTTTTAAAGCCAGGTGGTATCTTTTTTAAAGCCAGGTGATAGCAAAATAGCAAAACATGTTGACATGTGTCATAAACAGCAGTTTAGTCAGATCATCACAAGCGCTCTGAGGTCATTCCTTACCCCTAGTGAGATCACATTTTTTTCCCTACTCTTGCCGAAGGCAAAAAGATCGTAGGGAATAAGTAATCGGGTTTGGATATATGAGGTGGCCCGACGGTCCTACGGTGTCGACAAAAGTCTGCTCCTTCGCAATATAGACCACTCCCCTATAATTGTGTGTATTGGAAGCGTCTGTTATGCTGCGCGCGACGCTAGCCACGTGTTAATTAATTACAGTGAAGTTCCTCCTTCGCAAAGTTATTTTCCGCAATTTTCTGGATTCATTTATTGTTGATGCGCGCGGCGCTACAATGGTCAAATAAATCGTCAATTTTTACCATGCGCGAATCCCACTCGTTTATTATTTTTTCCAGTCACTCTTTTCACTCGAAAGAATTAATGGTACAAAATACAAGTACATCGTGTCGTAGGGAAAATAGATCGTGCGTGGTTTAACCGCGGCGAAATTCTTGTTAGGGTAAAAGATCAGAATGAACTAAATATTTGAAATAAATACAGACGGTGAAGAATGTGTAAATGTGTAAAAATGACAGGATGAACGCCCAAAAATGACCAAAATTTGAAATGAGCTGTATTAAAATTCCTAACATTTTGGACTGTAAATTGCAACGTGAAGCATTAACTAACTAAATTAGTCGGTGACAGGCCACATGACTTCATTCTTGAGCAAAAGATACGAAACTGAGAGGGGACATTCTCCTGGCCCACACTACCGCCTAAAATATACCCCTATCAGAGAGGGGCTATCCTGCAGATCCACTTCGTCCCACCCTTAAACTTACCGTTCAGCAGGTAGACTCTGACTGCTATTATCCAGTCTTTCAGCGCTGCTGGTCGTACAATAGTCGGAACTCTCGTACTTTCTCCCGAAACTGTCTCCTCGTGTTGACGAGGAGCCGGTGGCGGTGCGCGACCGAATCGTCGTTGCCATGGTGAAGCTTGCACACCACCTCTCAAAGTCTGTTATGTTTTCTGTACCCAGTGTCAGGGTCTGATGGAGAAGGGAGTTCAGTTAGCATGTTAATTGTCAAAATTCCCCGGACTAATCAATGATAATTGATAGCACTGACTTTCATAGCAGACACGTCAGGAGCAATTAAAACACAGGTCAACTAATTAAATACAAACAGAAGAGCAGATAATAGGTACGCTGTTTAGCAACTATCAGGTAAACACACAGATAACTCACAGTGTCCTGATTAGAAGGTGTAATGAGGAAGCGGTAGATGTTATGAGCGTGGTCTGTGGCGATGTCTGCTCCCGACAACTTGACCGAGTTGAAGGGGAGGGCCGAGTTTTCTGAGTCGTAGAGCAGGAGGTTGCTATGGTGCCGGGCACACCACGAGCAGATCCAGTTACCGTCCACTAATCTGAAGAGGAGACCCTTGGTGTGGGCTATCTCCCTCATCTTGCAGGCTGGGATGGGTGCTGGTGGAGCTGGTTCACTTCTGGGGGCCTGGGAGAAGATGATGCTAGGTTAGTGGAGAGGTTCTTGATTGTTTATAAAACATGCCAACAGCTAGATAAAATAATGAGCGCCTACAATCAATGGTTTCTCTCTACATGTAAATAAGATTAAAGTACCTTGTTATGTGAGATTTGGTCTCTTATAGGGACAGGTTTACCAGCGAGCACCAGGAGCCACGTGTCATACTCCTCCTCACTCTCCGCAGCCAGGAACAACTCTCTGGCTATCTGGGTTGATATTAGCCGGAATGCGTACGGTTTCTTCAGTTCTAAGGGGAGCAGTTGTTAGGATAAGCAACTTGTGTGATCTTGGTAGGTTTATGGGGAGTTATAGGAGTGTGACGAGCACTGGGTTTGGTAACCACAGCTCAAACCATCCGCCCAGGAATAGTGAAACCAAAACAAACTCAACTTATATTTTTGTGGTGGTTTCTTAGACTGTTAGTTGGATTTTGGGTATAGTAAAGACAGTGGATGGATTCACACGTGTTGGTGTTAATTTGGAAAGAAACAGGGCGTTGAATCCGTAAGAGTGGTAAAAATAATAATTCGAAAAATAAGCAGGATCTTTTCTAACAGACCAAAGATGGGCATTAAGCAAGGTCAAAATATAAGAATCAGGGAGTGCTAGGCAGTACATGCGCCACAAAGCTAAAACCCGGAGTAGCTCTCAGTTAAAGTAAGCTTGTACCTGAGTCTGGGTTAACGGAGATGGTACTGAGAACAATCTCAAAGAGGGGTTCTAGATTCTCCTCGCTCAGCGTGATGTAGAGGCTGTGTTTAGTGACGAAACAATATCTTCTTGTCCACTGGAATAGAGAGAGGTTAAAAATAGCACGAGGTGAAATACCAGAAATATACAATAAGTAAGTGTTAGATAATCAGTTTATGTAAGATGTTTAAAGAACCAACAGTGTGTACAGTGAAAAGTTAATTAAACCAATTAGACTAATTTAGAGGCTACTTTTAAAGGTTAGTTCGAGTTCCAATTACCTGGAACATGTGTGTCTTCTCCCTCAGATATCCCTTGTATTCTGCAAAAGTGATCTCCTCCTTCACATCTTTTATCTTATCTACCGTGTTTAGTGTTATCGTACTCCCGTTCATGGAGTTGCTTCTGAAAGCTGCGGAGGAAGAAGGAGTGACGGACACGTTTTAAAGTAATTTTCACTTTTTAGATGTTTTAGAGTAATTTTCACTTTTTAGAGGTTTTAGAGTAATTTTCACTTTTTAGAGGTTTAAGGCTCGATCGAATTTCAACCTCAAGTTAACGGCGTTTATGAACTTGTGAATGGCAACATTTTTAATTTCAATTTTAAACTTTGAGAAGTTTAATCCAGTGTTAAGCGCTTCGTCTCACTTAGAAACTTCCTGATGAGTAGTGCAGTCAAACACACGCAACATGTGAATGCTAAAACTTCAACCCAGCCAAACCCATTCATCTTAGTTTTACTAGGTACTTAATTATAATACACAACAAACAAACAAACGATACGCAAATGTTTGGGAAATATGTTATTTACATTTTACAGTCGTCACATAGAAATCTAACATAACAAATGTACAGAGTGGAGTACAAAAGCTAGAGTAAGTGCCCAATGTTCATCAGGAAAAAAACTCGTCACACCATTTGTCATTTGTACCAGACCCTTTTATGTGTTTAAACATTTGTTTTGATCCTCACCTCGGATATGACTTTCAGCGTCATCCATATTCCAATCTACAATCCTAGCTTTTGATAATGATATACAGTTTTACCAATCTCGTTATTCGTTAAACATGTGTCTAAATATGTTAACCTAATGGGATATGTAAAATCAAACAACCGAGAAACAATAGAAAGACACAGAGGATAAAGCAATTTACTGGACAAGTGTCATAAACTGTATACTGGCACTAACTCCACTAAGCAACTTAGAGGAAATAGTTAAGATTTTTGTCCGTTACAAAAAGGCCGATAGCAAAAGCAGCAAAGCGAGGCTAAAAGTTCAAGCGAGCTGAAATTAAATATACAGGCTCCATATATATATGGAGCCTGTATATTTAATTTCAGCAATATATATATCTGATTTCGGATGTGTGCGAAGAAGCCTACAATACTGCAGCACTAACTCCTACGTAATTCATTCCAGCAGGTAACAACAAGTTGACATATGACAGGACTATATTTATACGTTCACTCCTCATACCAGCTTCACTGATATACACGCCCTTTTGGAAACTGCAGCTTCTTGCTCGTGCAAGGTTACAAAACTAGGGTTACAAATACAGGGTGTTTTGAAATTCCTGTGTATACTTTTAACTCGCGTGTATTTCTAAACTAATGGTAAATAACAGTTGTTGCAATGTTAAACTCTGAGTCCAACCATAGCAATAACATAATTTAAAAGAATGAAACCGCTCGTTACTAAATACTTTTTCGAATTTCAAACTATACCCACAAAATATGAAACTCTCTGTAGATGATTGAAAGGGATACACAACTAAACAGAACAGGGAAAGGAACGAGCAACTGACTATGTAATGGTGTTAACGTGAGGACAGATCAGGATATCACGTGTCCACCTCATAGACCCCTCTCAAACAGACAGTTCCCCCTCTAACCATCAACAAATCACGTGTAACTACACTACTGACCAGCCTAAAAAACTCCAAAGCAAGAACGAAAATGAATAAAAAGCGCGCTGTTGCCCGCAGAGCAGCCCTTATTTGTAGCGAAGCGACCGCGGTAAGCTCGAGAAGTGCGGAGAAGTCTAGAAAAGGACATGTCACCTGTCAGATGGTAGCACCCAGCACTGAACTTATCGATATAGTGTGGCAGTGTTATAAGTGTAGTGTTATATATGGTACTGTCACCTAATAAAACAAATACAGAGACTAACACTACAACAACTATCCCCGGCGACAACCATCTAACTTAGGTTTTTACAAACTTTAAACAGGGGTAAAGTATAGTATATAGTAGTACATTGGTCGTTGGAGTACCGGGGAAGATGCCTAGAGGTGGGGAGGCCGTATAAGGTAGAAGAGAATGATGTATCTAGTTTTAGCATCAAGATACCTCTTCCTTGTTAGTAAGGGTTGGTATTTATCTCTGAAGACAAATCATCACTTCATCGAAAACGTACGATTACAAACGGTGTCAAACTAATCTCATCAAAGTTTTCTAATTATAATTCTAGTGATGAATGTATTAATTAAGCCGTGCTGAATGTACTAAATATGAGGCGGTGGTTCTGGGCGGTACACGAAATTTGATATACGACGACAAATTATTTTTCAGGACACGTACAATTTGGAGTAGGAGACAAAGTTCGATGATTAATTTTACTCGGTTAATAAGATTTCCATTCATCAAGTTAGGGAAGAAATTAAATGTCAGACACCGAATTATAGATACGAAGTCACGAGTATCTACGGTTATAAATGTTATCGTGCGATTTGAAATTAAATTATGAGATGAATTAATAATTCTCTAGCGAAATCTTGAGAATTAGTGAATTAAAAGGGTAAAAGATCGTCATGCAAAGTAGGGATGGCGGTACTCACATTCGAGACTGTCGTTACTGCAACACTTGTTGAGGGAGAATATCCATTTGTCACGTGATTCCCGCGTGTGAGCTGCAAACATCATCTTTTCATCCTGCCAAAGTACTGGTCAGATATTTAGATAAAATGGAACCGAATCTGATGGAATAATAGCAAAAGAATCAGTGTCAAGAGCAAACAATGTTGAACAGATTGAGAAGGGAAGTTCTCGTTTTCCAAACATCAGGACAGTTGGACAAAGTTAACATTGAGTACACAAACGTAAGACTGTTACACTCTTGGTTAGTTATAGTGGAACAGATGAGAGACTGCGTTTATGACGAACGAATGATATTTACATACGTCAATCACCAGAATAATGTAAATATTATATATACACAACACACCGTAACTGTTTTAAACGTTTTCTGATTTTCTAATTAATCTCTGAACCACAAAACGGACACGCCCAAACACCTTATTTAGCAGCTTAGTAAAAACATATTCTGCTAACCACAACATTGCCCACATTGTGCCTCTAACCTTGATTATTCCTAATATTACTATATCCAGCATTTCCTCATATTCTAGAAATATCTAACAACTGTTCATAATTCCTGGGTTTCTAAGATAGTTACTTAAACTGTACAGTATACAGTATACACACATGTTTCATAGGATCTATATTTCTATTGAACAGAATTTCAATTAGACACAATTATATAATTGTTATTATCAAGCAACTTAATTAAACTAAACTAAATTAAAACCAAGGGACTAAACTAAAAACAAGAGACTAAACGAGTAGAATAAATTCAGCATAATGAAACATAGTCAGCACGCTAACTCCAACTTGGTCAGGTCGGCTACTTTCATCAAGCTATCAACAAATCCAAATTTCCCGACGTACACAGAGCGACCTCTGATTGCTCAGATACACAAGTCATACTGTCACGTGTTATGGTAATGTCACGTGTTATCTAGATGCATGCTGGAGCACCGGTACTCTCAATATTTCCCTAATCACATGAATTATCATCCGATACGTGTGATTATATTGTGAAGTCTGTTGTGTTTGGACCCACCCCAACCCTAAACACCTCTAGGACACAGCGTGACGAAGTGGTTAAAACTGATCATATTTCAGGTGTTACCAACCAATAAAGTCACCTGCGCCGGGTAAAAATGTTTACAGGGAATAATGTTTCGAGGTTTTAAACTAACGATACAGATAGCAGATGAGAACATGCTGATGATAAATTAAAATGCAGACTAAATTGATAAGTGAACTGGCAGAATTTACAGATAGATCATAGATAAGATTCCTTATCAATCTGTCATAACTGTGGGACCCTGTGGGAGTGATCGATAGGTTGTTTGACGAGTTAATTTACAGAATGAACCAGAATTATAAAAATGTACTGATTGGTAGCACAAAGCCTAAAAGAAAGTGCCGCAACAGTACCGCGAACACTACACAAACTACGTTACAGTCTGCACAGACAGTTAAAGTAAACAGATACACTGTGTACACTGTGTACTAAGCACTATGTGGGTCACTACAAAACTTAGATAATTACTCTCAAAAGTTTGAGGAAGTAGTGGGTACACGTTACTATTTAATATAAATGTCACACCACTTAGTAGCTAGACTGTATACTTCATGTTGAATTAGTTTCTGAGAGGGAAGAGAGGGAGAGAGGATAGAGAGAGGGAGGATGGGGAGGATGGGGAGGAAAGGGCGAATATTTTTAAGAAATCCTTCAACAGAATGACCACCAGCAGAAAACAACAGGATTCTAATATTATACGTATAAGTTCGTTTGTTACAGACAGTTTATTTTAAAGACGGCGTCAGTTGACTGGATTTAAATTCTATTGGATTAAAGAAACATAATACATAAAGAGACTAAATCAAGCACTTGGCAGTTGGCTCCTATCCAGACACGTCAACTATTTGACTTTTGAAGCAGAGCAAAAATTACTTGTCAATAAACAGATAGTACTGGCAGCATTCGTATTTCATCGCGACTTTCGACACAAAGACTACAGCAAATAAAACTAAGAAAATATATAGAAAAAAGAGAGACGGAGGAGAAATTGTGACAAAATACTTGAAAACAGACAAATTACAACGAACAAATAAAGCTGAAAATTATATTTCATGACAGAACGGCTAAAAAATCAAACAATAAGTTCACCGGCCCCAACTGAGAAACTATCTGATATCAGCACACTCGTCCATGTGACAAAACGGCAAAGTGGCTAATATCACAGTTGCTGCCGACCACGGTGGCAGTTACCCGGAAGTGAGGGTGGAAGTGTGGTGGAACCTGTCTGCTACACTGAGAGAGATAGCACTGTGCAGAGGCACATATTAGGTGCGGTAAAAAAATCGAAATTATGCGATACCGCACCCGACTATAAAGGTTAAATGTGCGGTAAGGTGCGGTAAATTTTTACCAATTATGCGGCAAATGTGCGGCGATGTTTTCGAAATTTGTGCGGGAATTGTGCGGTTTTCTTTTGCATTTTCTCAAGGACTTTGGAAATTCTAAACGTATAACCGCCGCTCTTATCAAAAATAGGTCTGTTTATGTGTTACTGAGGGTGTAGTTCTTTACTAAGACCATGATTGAACCTAATATTGAGATTCAGTTATCTGAGAACAGTGACTTGATCTGGTAGAGATCAGGAGACAGTTATTTGAAGACGCCTCTTGATAGAGTCGATCAGATCCCATGCAGGTATCTTCTGTTTCTTGTGTGGTGAGCTTGATGATGGGTCACTGTCTGTAGCTGTTCGTTTCTTTAGGAAACGGTCCATGACGTTGTGATGTGATATACGAGCCTGGTACGGTAACGACGAGGGTTCCATAACGGCCTGGGTCACGGTCCCGAAAGGGCCTGGGTCACGGTCCCGAAAGGGCCTGGGTAACGGTCCCGAAAGGGCCTTGGTCAGGGTCCCGAAAGGGCCTGGGTCACGTGGTAACTGGGTCACGTGGCCTAGGCATGAGTTCCAAAAGGGCCTGGGTCAGGGTCCCGAAAGGGCCTGGGTAACGGTCCCGAAAGGGCCTTGGTCAGGGTCCCGAAAGGGCCTGGGTCACGTGGTAACTGGGTCACGTGGCCTAGGCATGAGTTCCAAAAGGGCCTGGGTCAGGGTCCCGAAAGGGCCTGGGTCAGGGTCCCGAAAGGGCCTGGGTCAGGGTCCCGAAAGGGCCTGGGTCACGTGGTAACTGGGTCACGTGGCCTAGGTATGAGTTCCAAAAGGGCCTGGGTCACGGTCCCGACAAGGCCTGGGTCAGGGTCCCGAAAGGGCCTTGGTCAGGGTCTCGAAAGGGCCTGTGTCAGGGTCCCGAAAGGGCCTGAGTCACGGTCCTAATAAATAAAAGAGCCCGACTTTTAAAATATTTTGGTTTTCACATCGAAAATCTTAACGCGAAAATTTCAAAATTATGCGAAATTACGCGGAAAATTCTAGATTATGCGGAAATATGCAGAAAATTACAAAATGTGCGGAAATGTGCGGAAAACAATTAATTATGCGGAAATGTGCGGAAAACGGTAAATTGTGCGATCCCGCACCCATCGCACCTAATATGTGCCTCTGGCACTGTGGCAGTGTGTGGTGTTCCAGAGCAGCTGGAGAGACTGATTGCATTTAAACAGACAGGGGATGTGACAAGTTCCTAGTAGTGCTCTCTCTCTCACCCTCTCTCTCTCTCTGATAATTAGTAACAGAACTATATGACTATGAAGTTGCTGGATTGTGGGGGTTTCTCGTTGCATATGTAATTTAGAATCGGACTAGGTGGAGTGATGCTGTGGACAAGGCCGTAATTTGTAGGTGAGAATTTTAAACTAGGGGAAAGCTGGTGTGACTGTCTCAGTTGAATTTATAAATGTTGTAAATTCAGCAATAAAAGGTCGGTATTTGGATTATCACGCCCCATTCAACACTCAAAGATCCAGCCAACGCTCGAAAATCAAAATCATAAATTCTGGCAAAGTAACAAAAAGCTCAAAACATTACCAAAGCGACCAACCCTACACCCGTACAGCAATACAGAATAAGGGATGGTAATTACGGTGCACTGATTACTAAACTTAAAACTGTCACACAAATCAATTTCCCACGGCAGAAGTGATGAGTTGCATGCAGTTCTCCTCCCTACTAGGATAAAGTTGCAATGATGTAACCACAGGAACAACACCAGATCCTTCACCCAAAACAACAGATGTTCCGAGAGATCAAAGCTGCATGTATACCAGATACAACAAGATGACGCAACTTCACACAGACACCACCAGAGAAGCGCAGCAACGTGTCTTTGTGATGTCATGTGTGTGAAAGAAGCTCACACCGTGTACACAAGCTCTCGTGCAGCTCACTTATGAATATTGGCACCGGCTCAGATAAACCAGCTATTATTGTTAGCTCTGCAGCAACATTGAATCTTGCAAAAATTTGCAGAGAGTTTAGAGTCTGCACACCTACACATAGCCTTCGTCTTCAACTGTATAATAGTAACAATGACTCACTACTACTAGTAACTATTTAGCAGTCTCCAACAACATGGGAAAACATAACAACCGAGAAATTTATCACCGTTTATCCCTTTTTTGAGCGGATAAAAAGTATAGAAATTACTGGACTCGCGTTACTATAAAGACGAACAGTGCGGTTACTCGTCATTATCATACAACAGCTAGGGAGATTATGGCGGCCAGGAGGAGGAACAGTGTAGGTGCTATCGTTTACAAAATTGTCATTCGTCATGACAAGAAGTAAAAGAACAGTCAAGATTTTCGATAGTTACTAACTAGAAAACGATAAGAATAAGAATGGTAAGTGGAACTGGTTGGAGAAGATATAACTATCTGTTGACAAGGAAGCAGGAAGTGGAGCTGAGATCGGATACACCCACATATCAGATCAGAATTCAGAACAGTAGTAGAGGTTATGTGGAGTTAATGAGGGAGTGGCGCTGAACAGTTAAAAACAGAGATACTAACTTGTGATAATTAGGTCTCATTAGACGCCTGAAAACTTATCAGTTGAATAATGAGTCCTGGTTACCGATTAAACAGCGGATTAAACACCAATCAGCTGGAC